CTTCAATTGTATGAATATACTTTTAAAGAAAATTATAATTAAATATAGCTTTGTAAAGAAACGTACATAAAAATATAAAATATTCTTTACTTTTTAAATCTTAAAACAATGCACTTAGTCAAATAGCTCCCTACGAGTGGCTAATGGATGGAATCGAAGACGGTTGCAAAGTGCGAATAAACGCGGACTGCCAAATCCCCAGTGCGCTGATACCGGTCAATATCAAATACCTCTTTTGTCGCATCACTAGTATATCTCAAAGGATGCGACAAGGCTGTTGTAGATTTTAAATGTTTCTCACCATAGCTGTAAAAATCTAAATTTGTTAAACTTAATAGTCATTTGTTTTCTAACTAATTCTTTTTACGACCAGGTGTCCACGGAATTTTCCAAAATTTACAACTTTTCAATTTACAACTGTCATTGAATTGTAAAAATTTCTCTCTATTACATTAATAATATGAAGAAATCAGTCTCCACTGTACTTGGCTAGAGATGGTTCGGTTAAGCTTTTGTTTAAGTAAAATTTTGGCTCTTTCATCAGGGTTTTGTTTATGTTATGTCCCCAATTCCCTAATCGCTTAATTATTTAACTACTTCTTAAGTAGAAATAGATCGAAACCAGTTACTTTGTACTCGAATATTTGTAGTCTTGGAAAAAAAGTGGAAAGACAAATTTTTATGACAACGGATACGTAAATCGTAAAATTAAAGAAAATAAATTCTAGAGCTTTTTCTGTAACTGGTGCATCTCTCTCATTCATTAAATTTAGTTGTAAATGACACTGTCAAAGTAATAGTTAATTTTTTAACAATTATATAAATATTATACAAGAATTGTACACGTTTTTTTCTATATCCCCTTAAAGATGGGATTATGAAATTGTAATATCACTGGTTTAACATTGAAATCTGAGTAATATAAAATCAGAGAGCAGAATAAAAATATCAAATATTTTAATGGATTTTTTTAAGCTCCTGTCAACTATACAGAACTATCATAAAAACATACCAGTAAATTCTTATCAGTTGGGTTAAGTTATAAATCTACTCATGATTCATGTAATCGGGTGAGGGCGGCCAAATATCTAGCGGGTGGGCGGCTAACAGCCCGGAGCTGGTCCTGGATAGAATTGGATGCGGAATACGTGTAGCATTCACCCTAGGCTTCCACCAGCTAAACTGTGTGAGGTTGGTGCTCTGTAAATCACAAATCTGGCTTTTTGGATGCTGACAATACAGCGTTTCCATCCTGCCACTGATATTCGAATATACAATAGCGATCTTATCTTTTTTTTTTTCCACGTGTAGTATAGAAATTTGTAATAAGATACATAAGGCGGTTATAATAAAATATTGTGCGATTATTTTCATATAATTAAAATTAATATGTATTTATTTTTTAGAAAATACAAGGGAAGCGGCGCATCCACGCTTCCAATGACGGCACGCCACTGCATAGAACCTCAATTATCCAAGATAATGTGGACCACATTTGGCAAAATGGCAGCTTTGAAGGGACTTCATGAGCTGTACGCCATAGAATATATTGAATCAGAATGATAATTAATTGGAAGAAAAGGATAATATTTGTTGTGTACTTGCCATTACGTAGAAAATTAAAAGGAATAAACATTTGTCACTCTTACGTTTAATCGACAACATGGAAAAATTCCTGCAGACGGTAACTTGACAATGTTGCCATCCAATCATTCGATAATTGTCGTCTGCTTAAAAGGTAAATTATAAAAATAATAAAATATTTCTATTGGAATATATTTTAATACTGATTACTTTAAGTTTATAAATAATAAGCTGTTATAGGATCTTTCATTAAAAGATAGAAAGGATCCTTTGACCACTCGGTCATCCGGCCACACCTGCTACCCATACGACGGCCGGATGGCAGAGCGGTTAAGATGGCAGCCTACACTTTGGGAGACCCGGAATCAAATCTGGACAGGTCGAAAATCTTCAAGAATTTTTCGGAGGGTGGTCCGACCGGATATGTCGGCCCCCAACACCCGGCTGTCCCATTGTGGGCCTGGCCGAACCCATAATGGACTTGCTAAATGAGACCCTCTTAGTGCCCACAGGGCGGAGAGTAAAAAAAAAAAACTTGCTACCATACAAAAGTGATGGGCGGATGACCGAGCGGTCGAGGTGTCAATCTACCGCTCTGAAGGGCCCAGGAACGAATCCAGACGGGTCGAAAAACACGGGAATTTTTTGTGGTTCGTCTCGGATGCAGATTTTTTAATAAAATCAGATAAAAGTGAATAGACGTTTAATTTTTGTAAGAAATTATACGAGTATGCAAAAAAAAGGTCGGAAAATAGTTAAAAACCTGATAAAAATAGGGTAAATTACAAACCATTCTTAGTTATTAGTGAAAGTTATATTTTTGTATTTACAGTATATAAAAGTGATATTTTGAATATTTCATGACGAAATTAACCTTACGTTTCAGTTTATTGCACGTAATTATAAAAATAAAATTGAACGTATGGAATTTTGTGTGTATTAAATGCGCAAGTGTAAAATCACAGAATTGAAAATAGCTTTTATTTCTAATTTTAAATTTATAAATTGTTATAAAATGTTTGTCAATTAAAACATACGATATTTATATACGAATTTAATGTAAAACTCGTATTTACAAACTGTAAATATTTCGGTGATATTAGACTTTTTACAAAGAAAAATATCCTAATTATATTTTTTTTTAAACACATCAGGAAGTAAAATTGTTTGTTTATTTAAATATTAAAAAGTTTTAGCACTTTTCAATGGCAGATCGGGCGTGACAAATTTCGGGCAATCACAGCACGAGCTGAAAGTAATTTTGCTTATTCTTTGTGTATAAAAGCAGTCACGCCCTACCCCGTACCTTATCATCCGGCCCGTTTTTGTAGGCTTGGCCGAACTCACACGCCCATATAATGACGATGCCTTAATTTAAAGGGCCTTTTAGTTCTCATAGAGCGCAAAGAGTAAAAAAAAAAAAAAAAAGAAAAGAAAAGATTTCTCATAAAAGTAACAGATATTGTTCTTCAATAGAAAAAATAGTTATTGTAGCTTTGTAATAATTGCGTCTATAAAACATTTGTTGCAGAATTTCACTTGAGGAAAATGTGCATTCGATTGAAAAAATTCTATTGCATTAGCATAGAATGGGCGAGTTACATTGCAATTTCCATATCTATGGTGAGTACAAAGTAAACTGAATGTAACTTTCTCTTCTAGAAAACTTCTGAATGAAAATGTACTTATGATTATATCACGAACTTTTATTTTAATTTAATTAAAACGTTAGAAATCATATTCGTTCGATATAATTCTTGTCAAAAATCGATCAGCATATCTAAATATGAAATATTGCTATTTCAGATCTACGGATTAGGTAAAAGTGGCGGTTATTTTTATCTGTTGGCATTTTACAAAGGAACCGAGGAACTCGAAAAAGTGTCCAGTAAGACTAACTATATTTATGAATTTGTGAGAAATCATATCATATAAATCCATCCAAACATTTACATATTAATATAAACGACGGAAACTAATTGGTCATTGTTGTTTATTTTCAGAAATAATCCCTGTGGTCAGAGCCGTTCTCATTAGTGAGTTGTTGCTATTTTTAGCTTTCGTCTTCGCCACCATCCTGATGTTCTTCGGAATAAAATTTGTAAGCGAACTCAAAAACATACTCTCTAATTTTTTAAATTTCTTCGAAACATTTTCATTCGTTTATATTTCGAGGATAAATAAATTATAAATGAATCTAAAGTTTCTTGTGTACAAATACACAGGCTATCCTGATCGTAAATCATATGTAACTGACCCCTACCCAACTATATTTTTACGTGTATACTCAGTGGCGTAGCGTGGGTGTCAGCCACCCGGGGCGGAGGAAAATTTCGCCCTCTCTTATTTAGGTATCTCAATTTAAAAGACTAAAATTCAGCTTTGTCACAGAACAAGCAATGAAAAATTCCGTTCTAGTGCAGCGACCCGTTTAAAATAGCTGTATTGGATATTGGTGGTGTATATGAATACGAATGAATCGTACAAGCACAAAAAAAAAAGAAAAAAAAAGGTCAACAGGTTGCGCAGGATATCCTCGAATGAAATTACTAGTTCACCCGGACGGTGAGCCGATTCCCGGACTGTCCGGACGATAGCACTATCGTAGACGCGACGCAAGTATAGATTAGAATGGTTCAAATTTTTACAATATCTTATTATTATTGATTGTGAAATTTTGCCGCCCCCCACTACGCTACGCCACTGTGTATACTTTTAGTAATACACGTAAGTATTATTATAACACTGCTCAGCACTATTTCCCGGAATCCCGGTTAAAAACCAACGGATTAGCCTATAAAAGTCAAAAGAAATTACGTATTTATTATTTATGTATTTATTTTATTTTTTGTAAATCCTAATCTATGCTTAAATGTTTTTACATGAATGAAAAGCACGGATAAAATTTCTTAATTGCTTAGTTATCTACGAGTATAGTTATACTGGAATGACCGAGAGGCTAAAGTGGCAGCCTATCGCTTTAGGGAACACCGGATCGAATCCGGAGGGCCGAAAAACTTTCGGGGTGTTCCGTCTCTCTCCATCCAATCGTCCCATTGTGGGTCTTGGTCGAATACATAATTGCTAGAAAACTCAGTGCTCACCGAGCGGAATTAAAAAGCCCAGTGCTTTAGTAAATTAGTTATAAAACACTTTTCGAAAGTTTTACAAAAATGACACATTAGATATCTATTTAAGAAAGTATTTTGATTTTTATTTTCAGAAAAATCTAGAATTTATGAAACCTTGGTTGATATTTACAACGTTCCTCATTTTAGGGGATTATATTCATGCAGTTTATCTTCTGGCGGAAGTAGGTTTTCTTTTTCTTTCTAATAGAAAATAAATTATAATTTTAATAATTTCTTTACATATCGGATATGTTAAACTGAANCAAAAAAAAGAAAAAAAAGGTCAACAGGTTGCGCAGGATATCCTCGAATGAAATTACTAGTTCACCCGGACGGTGAGCCGATTCCCGGACTGTCCGGACGATAGCACTATCGTAGACGCGACGCAAGTATAGATTAGAATGGTTCAAATTTTTACAATATCTTATTATTATTGATTGTGAAATTTTGCCGCCCCCCACTACGCTACGCCACTGTGTATACTTTTAGTAATACACGTAAGTATTATTATAACACTGCTCAGCACTATTTCCCGGAATCCCGGTTAAAAACCAACGGATTAGCCTATAAAAGTCAAAAGAAATTACGTATTTATTATTTATGTATTTATTTTATTTTTTGTAAATCCTAATCTATGCTTAAATGTTTTTACATGAATGAAAAGCACGGATAAAATTTCTTAATTGCTTAGTTATCTACGAGTATAGTTATACTGGAATGACCGAGAGGCTAAAGTGGCAGCCTATCGCTTTAGGGAACACCGGATCGAATCCGGAGGGCCGAAAAACTTTCGGGGTGTTCCGTCTCTCTCCATCCAATCGTCCCATTGTGGGTCTTGGTCGAATACATAATTGCTAGAAAACTCAGTGCTCACCGAGCGGAATTAAAAAGCCCAGTGCTTTAGTAAATTAGTTATAAAACACTTTTCGAAAGTTTTACAAAAATGACACATTAGATATCTATTTAAGAAAGTATTTTGATTTTTATTTTCAGAAAAATCTAGAATTTATGAAACCTTGGTTGATATTTACAACGTTCCTCATTTTAGGGGATTATATTCATGCAGTTTATCTTCTGGCGGAAGTAGGTTTTCTTTTTCTTTCTAATAGAAAATAAATTATAATTTTAATAATTTCTTTACATATCGGATATGTTAAACTGAATTGAGAGTGAAATTTACGCTTATTTCAACTTAGTTTAAAACACAAAGTGCACTTTTTTCGAACAACTTTTATGTAGATGTATTTAATGATTTCTTTTATGTAGGGTTACGTTCTCTTTGGAGTAATCAGCCTGATCGAACCAATTATTGGCGTAAGTTCAAATTTTATAGAACAATTTTTAAATAAATACATATGTGATTAATATTATTTTCAGATCTTTGTGTTCGTCATTATCTACTCCCAATACAAAAACGTGGAAGAATTCGTCCTCTCCTCCCAAATATCCGCACCAGCGGAAGCTGTTGTCATTTCCGAGCTTCCCACTTCGTCCTGATCTGGAAAATTTTACGTTCGAATATATTGAAAATGAATTCAAAATTTTACTCCTATTGAAAAGAATAAAGAAATAATTATTGAACTGCGGTGTCACTTTTCTCATTTTCATTTCAAAGTTATGAATCGTCTATTCAAACAAGAGAATCAAATGGCAGCTAACATTTTAGCGGCCCGGGAATGCTCGGTTTGGATCCAGATTGACTCAGAAATTTTCATGTATTTTGGGCCAGATATGCCTATGACTGAACGGTAGTGGCGTGCCGTGACATTTGATGATAGGGAAGCTGTGTTTCTGTAAGAAGCCGACTCCCAGGGACAAATTAATCGGCGATGGTCTAGGGTCCATTCGTATTCGTTTGTTCGATAAGCCAGTAAAAACCGTAGACTTCTCTAAATGTATTTTTAATTAATAGATTATCTAACGCACTTAATAAATAAGCAAGTTCAATATAATTACCTCCGTTATATTAGATTTAATAGATTCCTATGCCCTCTAAATGCCAATTCGATAACACCTACTAATTTAAATATAATATATCTATTAGCCGTAACTATCTCGTTATAATTTTCAATATTTATTTTATATTGTTTACTAATGTTAAATTCCATTCTATTTTGATTTTCAAATTGCTTCAATTTTACGAAAGATTCGAGATTTACGATTTTCGTGTCTTTTGCCAGCTTTACCTAAATTATTTAAAACGTCAAAGCCATTCTTATTCTACACACTAATTTTATTTGAAAATAGTAGGCAAGGCCAACAAAACAGTTTTTGCATTTCTATGCATCCACAAAGCCATTTTATGTCTTCATAAATTTTATTGTGAAAATGTCGAACAAATTCTTTTGTTGACGTATTAATTGGTCATTCTCTTTTAATAATGTTTTCTTTTTCATTATATGGTCTTAAGCCAAAACTTTTTAAAAATAAATTTTCAATATCGCAATTACATTCTAAATCGCTAGCCATAATATAAGGGCTAAAATTAAAAATAAAATTATAAAAACTTACTTGTTACAATAAAATGTGTGATCGATATACAATTATACATACCTGGTACAAAATATTCGATTGTATGAATATACTTTTGTGAAGAAACGCACATAAAAATAACATGAAATATTCTTTACTTTTTAAATATTAAAACAATCGACTTAGTTAAAATTGCTCCCTACCAGTGGCTCGTGGATTGAATCAGAGACGATCTTGGTAGGTGTGTGGTGGGTGCATGCAGGCTAAATCCCGAGGGTGCCAATACCAATTAATGTAAAATGCCTCTTTTGTCACATCACTAGTATTTCTCAAATAACGGACAGGGTTGTTGTAAATTTTAAACGTTTCTCACCATAGCTGAAAAATCTGAATTTGTTAAACTTAATAGTCATTTATTTTCTAACTAATTCGTTTTAGGAATTTTTCAAAATTTACAACTTTTAGTCACTTTCATTGAACTGAAAAAATTTCTGTCTTTATTACATCTGATATTACGAAGAAATAAGTCCACACTGTTCTCGGTTAATCTTTTGTTTAAGTAAACTTTCGGCTCTTTCATCAGGGTTTTATTTATATCCCCAATTCCCTAATCGCTTAATTATTTAACTACTTCTTAAGTAGAAATAAGTCGAAACCAGTTACCTTGTACTCAAATATTTGTATTCTCGGGAAAAAAGTGAAAATACAAATTATGACAACGGATGCATAAATCATAAATTTAAGGAAAATAAATTCTAGAGCTTTTTCTGTACCTCGTGCATCACTCTATTTTATTAAATTTAGTTGTAAATGATGCTACCAAAGTAAAAGTTAATTTTTTAAATTGTACAAGAACTGTACACGTTTTTTCTACATCCCCTTAAAGATGAGACATACGAAATCGTAATATCACTGGTTTAACATTGAAATCCGTAAGTAATATAAAATGGAAGAGCGGAATAAAAATATCAAATATTTTAATGGATTTTTTANTACGTTTATTCATATGTAATAATAAAAATACATATATACACGGTCTTGCATTTTTATTAGTCATGTTTTTTCTGTTTGTGGGGGTTAAAGAATCTATCCAATGTCGATCGCTTTTCTGTCTTATTCATGATTTTTCAGAAATAACTAATAGCATTGTAATTGTAGAGATCCCTAGGCCTATTAACCTCAACTTGGTTTGAATGCCATTTTAAGACCGTTGTTCTGACATCTTCATACTTCTTCAAAAGATCTTTAATAGCAGATATCGGCATAAATCCGCATTTTCAGAAGAAAACGTAAAAGAATTGTTTCTGTCAGAAGTACAAAAGGCTGGAATTACAAGGGAGAGTTTCAAAGTTGGGGGGAATACTATCCGATCAGTATATGAATGTCGATGTGACGTCTCCCGCGCTCCGAAAAGTTTCGAATTGTTGCCTGAAGACAAAGGAAGACCAATCGGTATTCGTTATTTTACGTCGCTTCTTGTGTTTGTTCAGTGAAGTGTTCGTTATCCGAACATGTGTTCGTTGTCCGATCATGAAAATCTTTCGCGAAAGTGTTCGTTATCCGATTTGTTCGTTAACCGATCTGTTCGTTAACCGATCACCCACTGTACTTCTTAAGTAGAAATAAGTCGAAACCGGTTACTTTGTACTCGAATATTTGTAGTTTCGGGAAAAAGTGGAAAGACAAATTTTTATGACAAACGGATACATAAATCGTAAATTTAAGGAAAATAAATTCTACAGCTTCTTCTGTACCTAGTGCATCTCTCTCATTCATTAAATTTAGTTATAAATTATGCTACCAAAGTAACAGTTAATTTTTTTAACATTATACAAGAATTATACACGTTTTTTTCTACATCCCCTTAGAGATGGGAAATACGAGATCGTAATATCACTGGTTTAACATTGAAATCCGTGAGCAATATAAAATCGGAGAGCGGAATAAGTATATCAAATATTTTAATGGATTTTTTTAAACTCCTGTCAACTATACAGAACTATTTTAAAAACATACCAGTAAATTCTTATCAGTTGGGTTAAGTTATAAATCTACTCATGATTCATGTAATCGGATGAGGGCGGCCAAATATCTAGCGGGCGGGCGGCTAACAGCCCAGATCCGGTCCTAGATAGAATTGGATGCGGAATACATGTAGCAACCACCCGAGGTCCTAGGCTTCCACCGGCTAAACCGGGTGAGGTTGGTGCTCTGTAAAGCGCATGCGCAAATCTGGCTTTTTGGATGCTGACAATACAGCGTTTCCATTCTGCCACTATACTCGAATATACAATAGCGATCTTATCTTTTTTTTTTTCCACGTGTAGTATAGAAATTTGTAATAAGATACATAAGGCGGTTATAATAAAATATTGTGCGATTATTTTCATATAATTAAAATTAATATGTACTTATTTTTTAGAAAATACAAGGGAAGCTGCGCATCCACCGCTTCCAATAAAGACACGCCACTGTGTCTATTCCCGGCCCTCACAAGCTTTCAGTCCACTCTGACATAACGGACCTTTCAGACTTCGGTGCTGAGCTTACGGTTCACAACGACGGTTTTGACAAACTTAAAAATTCTGGCGATAAGACACAAGACATCAAAAAGTAATACAATTTGCGATTTTTCGTATAATATGGCAAACTGGCAAAAATTGGTTTATCAATTAAAATGAATTTTTTTAGTGATAATTATTCAAAATATTCGCAGAAACGCAAAATTAACATTTGATTTTCCCTTTAACAGAGTTTTTCGGTAATTGTCTTCTTTCTGAAAGCATTAATTAAGAGTTTCATTTCACATTCGTGAAGTTGATTCCGCCGAACGTAGAACAATCGAATTTGTCATTCGATTGTTCTACGTTTGTATGTGTTTGTATAATAGTGCGCATTTCATCCGGTCCACAGTCGAGGCATCCAATTTACGCAACAGTCATCGTCGTGTAACAATTTTGATTTATTTCATTGTTAAGTCGTTATTCTTGGTTAGAAGAAACTTTGGAAATGTGTATCCGAATCAAATATTGTTGTTGCTTGAAAGTGAAAAAAGCCGCGCACATTGTCGGCATCCTTTCCATTGTAAGTTATTTGAAGTCTTTTAAACTGATCTCAGGATACTAAACCTTTTATATTTTGTTGCAGATTTATGGTTTAGTGAAGACACTTTTCTGTTGTTATATCTTGGCAAAACACGAACAAACTGCCTCCCAGAACTCTGCTAGTTAGTATGCAAAATACCCGTTCTTATTTCTAAATATTCTAAAATAATAGAGACGTTGCGGTCGACGTTATCATCGCGAAAACGTGTACGTTGGACGTTCAGCGCCGCTTTCCTATAAGCCTAAAAGTTTGACAATGGCGTTTGAATAGTCAGTGGAATCATGCTCGACGTCCCAAACACCATTGCCAAACTTCTAGGCCTTTAGGAAAGCGGCGCTGAACGTCTGACATACACGTTTAATAAACATGAACGTCGATCTGTAAAGCCAAACTTAGAACGTATATTTTTGTATTAAAGCATTTTCTAAATTCGAATCTTAAATTATTTTAAAGAAACGTTTAACTTTCGCTATATTACATATGAATTTTTTTCGTTCTGTTTCAGAAAATTTCTACATCACGAAGATCGTATTGGAGGTGCAATTGGTAGTTTATTTCTGCTTTTTCTTGATCAGTGTTCTGATGTACATCGGCGTAAAAATTGTAAGAGAATACTGTACTTTGTTTTATCGTACACTTTCTTATAATTTCATTATATAATATACCGGGTGATCATAATTAAAGGTTTAAAGTTGTACTATTCAGAGTACTCTGAATAGTACAACTTTAAACCTTTAATTATGATCATTCAGAGTACTCTGTAGCTCCAGCCAATAAGCCGAGTGACACCAAAATTTGTGTACACGCTATTCAAAGGACGAAGAAAATAATTTTGCAAACAAAAATTTTAGTTCTAAAATTATCCGCTACAGGGTAAACGGCGCTGAAAAATAAAACAACAGAAACACAATGAAAAAGACTTATTCTTTCGTATGGGACCATACTAGTACGTGTAGTATAGATTGCTTAGCCATACCGGGAATGTTGTTCAATGTGTTCCACATCGTTTGGGTGTAAAATTTGAAGACGATGCACGGTATGTTCAACGGTTGAATGCAAGTGTGATGTTCCCCCGTGCATGCAACGCAATACTATTCTTTAGGCCTGCCTATATTGCAACATTACCACTATGCAGAGAGATTCAAAGAACGTGGTGGGAAACCGATGACTAATCATCCGGCCATCAGTGAAATGTTAGGGCAAAAGTTGCTGTACATCGCTTCCAATATGTGGGTCTTTGCATGCAGCTCGTGCATGTTAGTGTCTATTTCGTTTAATTAATAACTCAGCAATGGTTAAAGATTAAGAAACGAAATTTTCCATGGTAACTTGTATATAAGTGGAATTGATGCTATTAAATTTAGAAGTACAGAACTCGAGGGGATGGGGAGATAGAGGGGAGCTCGCGTCATACCTCGAATAGGATATGACTTATTATAAATGCTGATAGAATTTTCATTATTTAATTAAAAAAACTCATCTCTACCCTCAAAAGTAAACCTTTTTTTACATTATTAATTATTATAAAATTACAAAGTTACTTTTAATATTATCTCATAACAGCGTAACACAATTTTAATCTGGTATTTTCGAAACCGTGCCAGTAATTGTTTAGTAATTCGAACACAAATCATTTATTGTATTCATTCGGACACTTGGCAAATCTCATCATTAAATTTTTAGTTGATAGGTGTTCATCGTATTTGTACACGTTTCGGGCATTTTGCGCCCCTCTTCAACCAACTAAAATAGAAGTTCACAAGTTACAACAATATAAAACATATTTTAAAAATCTCCATTAAACATATTTATCATAATTCGACAAAATTACTCCTTTTAAGCTTTTGTTAATACTTAAATTTTATATCCTAGTCAATTTAAAATTATCGTACTTCCTAATGATCGCCTTAACCTTCTGTTCGAGTGCTGAAAAACTTTTTTTAAAGAAAAACTACATTTTGGCCAGTGAAACGTTGTGTTAAAGTTGCTAGATACTTGCTGGCAGTGGCACACTCAAGATTTAATCTTGGGGAGCCGAGTTGAACGTATAAAACAAATTTTTAATACGAATTCAATAAAAATCTCCTTTATGTGACCGTTAATTCATAAGTAATGTAGAAATAGAAGACACGAAACAATATTTTTTTTTACTTTGGTGGGAGCTAGAGCCCTTGGCTCCCCCTTTGGGTACGTCATTGAGTGCGGGAATGACAGTTTTGGAGCAAACATTGTCCAGCACTGCAGCAGAAAAAAACAATTCTTTATGCAGGATGGTACGTACTGTATACATCCCTATCGACTTAAATGTGCAAACCTTACTAAAGCAACATTTTTAACGGGAGGGAGTGATTAACCGATCATTTCCAACGAAATAGCAATTACGATCATTCTGAACACCTACTCTTAATATTATCAATATACTGTATATATCTCACTGTTGTATACAACAGGGCTGTAAGGAAATCATAAACATACTGGGTAATCAAGGAAAAAACGTACAGTGAATGATTTTCAAAAGGATTGTTTGTAACATTTTATTTAATCTTATTTAACGATTGAAACCTTGCGCAGGAAAATTTTGTATCCAACAGAGTTTAATACAAAAATACATTCTTTATGTAGGGATCATTTGAAAAAAAAATCTTTTGGCATCATTTGAAAAAAAAATCTATATTCAAATATTTGTTGCATAGAAAAACGTTGTATCTACTGGTAATTGTAGTGTTTTTGAGTAAATTAATGTAGGGGGAAAATTAAATTGTGATAAAAATGTGCAGCAAGGTCTGAAAACTATCTCTGTTATATGGTATCATCAGATGACCTGTAGTGACCAGTGTGTGCAAGAATCATGATGTCATGCAACCGTGGATAACTTACAAACACTTGCCTCAGCAGAGAAGATGCAGAGGTAGTGTCCAGATTTCAAAATATAACAGATATTTCTTTGCTTCCTCTATATGATGGCTCATTGCATGTAAGAACAGGAAAGAAACGAGATCTCTTGGATACGACAATAGCTTTAAAAGAACAACATGATGAATTGTACAGGGCGTTGTAGGCTCAAGAAGAAACCATTATAGGCAGTTCTTATTACTGTAGAAAGTTTAGAAAACAAACGTTATTGTTTGTGTTTACAGTGAAATACAATATGTTTCACTCTTGTAAAATAAATAATACATAAAGACAGATACAACGTTTTTCCAGTAATATTCTCAATTTTTAAAAAAACATCGAACAAATTTATAAAATTTTTCCTCTTGCTGTTCGTGGAAAAGCGTTATAACATCGCAGAAACAACGTTTTCCCCATAACGGCAAATATTTTCCGTATAACTCAAAAACTACTATTTCTTTCTGAACCATTTTTTTTATGGTAAAATCATTCCGACGTTATATTTATAATTCAGTGTTTGTTTAGTATTGATATACGCTGTTTAAGTGGGAATCAGTTTTTTGCCGTTTTTTCAAAACAGCAAAGTTGCAGATACAACGTATTTTTGGGCAAGTGTTCAATTGAAATAATTTATTTTCACCCCTTCAAGAGATATGTATAGTTAAGGAATAAACAAAACTTCAATTATAACAGTTAATTTGTTAGCTCATGCGAAACAATTAATTCCTAGTAATGCCACAGCATAGAAAATTATTTCATCCGTGTATGATTTTAAATTGATAATACTTTGCTTTGCATTTGAAGACTAGTCACCGGTTGATGTTCCCGTGGTTGATTGTTACGACTCTATTCATTATAACAGATTTGGCAGAAGCAATTTTTCTAATGATACAAGTAAGTTATGTTCCCTTATCTGATAATACATTTTTAGATTTTATAATTACTAGAATATTAATGAAGATTTTACCGTGATTATTTAAAATTTGATTTTTATTTTGTTCCAAGATTGAATAATGGGCTAAGGGGGTTGATCGTGGATATGCGTTACGTAATTTTGGTGGTGGATATGTGCCACAACGTTACGAAACATTATAGGGATGGGATGGTAGTTACTATAGAAATAGCGTTACTGAATACGGATGATCCACTGTGGGAACTAAGAATACATTTTTTCATGCCCACAATGGTTTCATCCAGGTCCTCAATGGGACCCGACCTATTGGTCCGGAATTTTCAGGGAATGATCACCGAAAACTTCCCGAGATTTTTCGACCCGTCCGGATTCGATCCCGGGTCTTCAGAGTAGTAGGTTGCCACCTTAACTGCTCGGTTTGTCAGCTAATACAAATCTTTTAATTTCTTGAAATTTTCTTCTGAGATTTTTTAATAAATACTTTTTTACAGTATAGTTTCTTTGTATCATTAGTATAATAGAGTTTCATGCATTAATTAAAACATTACTCATTTAGAAACGTTACATTCTTGGATCTACAAATTTGATGGATGCAATATTAGCGGTAAGTATTACATCGCACTAGAAAGATCCCGTAGTAAAAGAAATCGCAGTGACGTATATTTATATGAAATTTTTAGATCTGTTGTTTCATATGTGTCTACTCGCATTACAAGAACCTTCAGGAACTCTCTCGACCTAAACAAATGTTGTAACTTCTCCTTATTCGATTTCGATCAATCTCTAATTCTTCTTAAATGATGAGTTTAAACGAATTTTAAAATTATTATAAAGAGATTAAACGAATTTTAAAATCATAATGTTTTCTTATTTTAATAATTAATTACCGAAGACTTAAGCTACTTATTTTCATTTTTGATTCTCCAATCTCTGTGGTCACTAAGAGAGCCTTTTTAAACGTACCCATTATGGTTTCGACCAGATCCATAATGTTGACAGCTGGGTAGTGATGGACGGAATACGACATATTTGGGACTTGTTACCCATAAAAAATTCATAGGATTGTTCTCCTGGTTCGATTCCAAGTGTTCCGCAGAGGCACGCCGACACATTAATACAAACCCATAAAAAATTCATAGGGTTGTTCTCCTGGTTCGATTCCAAGTGTTCCGCAGAGGCACGCCGACACATTAATACAATTAATGTGTCGGCCCCGCCCCGGAAATACAATTAAGGCAATTTATTAAAGCAAAGACTAAAATTAATCGAAAGAAAAAATTTACAGGAAAACAAATTTCTTTCTACAGTATTATCCTATCCATACTACAAACTGAAGGGTGTGTAGGGGACACGCTAAAGATAACAGCTACATACAACACGACTACGTTATTAAATTTACCAGTGAGCACATCTACACTAATGCTATTCCTAAATTCACTGATGCGTTCCAACGAATGTCCTAAAAAGTAATAAATTGGTAATTTATTAGAATAGGTTAGGTTAGAATGTGCGTCCCCACTGTTCCCTGATTCTAACAAACAGAAGAAAGGAAACGGCCGCCATGACGATGCACATAGGTAAAGATTGACCCAAACACAAATGCCACGCCCTCTTGACTAAAAGGAAAATGGCGGACGTATATTCAATTTTCCTGAAACATGGCGTCGCTTCAGCCATTCTATATAGTATATTCTAGCTCGTTGGTTTTAAGTGATTTTCTGGCACCCTAAAAAGTGCCTTTTATTCTTTTTCACTAGGGTTCAGTACACAAACCACGTATAACACTCAAACATGCTAATTTGCGATTTTTAAAATTGTTTGAACGTGAATATTAACTATATATAATAAGGAAGTTTTATCATCATTATATTAATTAATAACCACTAATATACACGTGTGTTAATTATTGTATAATTTTGATTTTAAAATTGCCATATGCACTGTCCTTCCTATTGTATAAATGTTATATTTGTATAAAAAACTAATTGAAAAGTTTTCCGAAATGCATATTGGTCCTAATATAAAATGCAAAGAGTTAATTAAAAACCAAGTTGAAAGTACAATATGTCTGTTTAATGGTAAGCTTATAATTAATCAATATGACATGAATATAGACAAGCTTACTAATAAAACAGTATCTCCCAGCCCATGGGCCACGACACACAATTGTGAAGTGAGTGCTCCTCCAGGGTATGTCGCTGAAATATTAATTATTTTTTAGAATTTTGAATAAGCTTTTTTACTTTCCTGGCTGTTATATATATGAGGGAAAGTATGGCGATCACTCAAAAAATGGTCCCCAATATTTTTACACTTTTAGACTCAGGACACCTTGAAACATCGAGAAATGCAAAAAAAATTCGAGGTGTTTTCTGTAAGTACGGATGTTAGGCACTGTCCATAAATTACGCCTGCATTTTTCTTGAAATTTTTACTCCCCTCTTTGGACATCTAACAAAACTCAACTCCCCTTAAATTTTTTTTTATCACTTTATGAATGATATCATAATTATAAACGAAACATAAAAGAAATTTTTAAACAAATATATCAATAAAATACATAAAATTTAATGAAATAAACGGACGTCCACTGACGCTCAAACACCCCCTCGTCGTAAAGGGGGTTAATGTCGTATCTCGAGTAAGGTCGGACTTATTAATTAATGATTTCACTCGTTATTAGCATTGACAATTTTTCATAAAACTTAGCTTTTTGCAATTTTATAACGATTACATGTTTTTCATAAAATATAACAGATGGTGCCACACATGCAATTTTAATATTGCCAGGAAAGTTAAGCAACTCTATAATTGTGAAGAGCGTAGTATTTCCATTTTTCTATATTATCGATAATAATGCAGAATATTGAATTTTAATTTGTCGCTAGATTTTATACTCAAAATATGGTACTCTTAATACAGCCATTCACGAATGATACCTGCAATCAGTATACCGTGTTTCCCCGAAAATAAGACCTATCACAGATTTTGCTGAATTGCGAAATATAAGACCTCCCGTGAAAGTAAGACCTAGCGAAGTTTTTTTTTAGTCGTAACGGTCATCGACAGATGGTTGAAAGTGGCCGTTTGCTTTTTGAAAGTACAGCCACTGATTGGTCAGCAGACAATTACGCCACACGGCATGATTTGCATAAGACTATGGCTTGGGAATCACAGATTTGCATAACGTTACGGCTGGTGATGGCTAATTGGTCGGCCGGGAATCACGCCACATTAAATTTGCATAGTGCTACGGTTCAGTAAGCACTAATTGGTCATCGAGTCCGATGTTGACGCTATAAAAAGGCGACAGTTTGACCACCGGATATACGTCAGTCTCGTCTAAGTTCGACTTGGGAATTTTTTTGTTCAATAATAAATGTGAATCCTTCTTCCTGGAAAAAATAAGACATTCCCTGAAAATAAGACCTAGCGCATTTTTCAGAACAAAAATGAATATAAGACACTGTCTTATTTTCGGGGAAACACGGTAGTTGCCAGATTTAGTTTTTGTTTTTTGGTATTTTGGGGCGCCTAACTTTTTATTTAGCTTTATAAATTATAGTAAATTTTATGTTAAAGTAATAATTCGATATCTGCCAGAGCCTGATCTTATTAAATAAAACAAAGCCTGTTAGTTTTTTTTACAGGTAGAATATAATTTTGCAACACTTAAGACATCTCTATATAATTTCTGGGAAACTTTGTAAAGCTTATTTAACATAATAAAATTCTCTTAGAAAGTGTACAGGGTGTTGCAAATTACTTATCTTTTACCTTGAATACTTTTTGTAATTATTATTTTAGAATTATTTTGTTTTAATTAATTAAACTAGGAAGACTTTTTGCCTGAAATTTAGGTATTTATGTTGAATATGCTGGTGAATATATATTGATGTAGAAATAATGTAATAAAATCACTTACATCTTGTATTAGAGGAGACTATGCTTTTTTCTTTTCTAACCTTGTCTAACTTTGTAGAGATAATCCTATTTGTAATCTGAGAATAGCAAATGAGGAAGGGGATGCTTTTTTTTAAAAAACGCTCACTATAACAATATTTTCTCTTGTTCCACTAAACATCACTATACAAGGATCTAACTGTCTTTTTTGTGAATAATTGTGAAAATACTTATTTTACAATGTTGAAAAATCTGTGAAACCAATAATTTTGTCTTTATTGAGACATCAATTTATAAAAACAAAAATATCAGATTACATGACCAAATTTTTAGAAATTTTTTCATTAAATATTTATAGTCAAATTTTAAAATAATATAACTAGAAAATAGTGATAGCTGTATTACACTAATTTCTCTTTTCTGCAAATAATTCTTCCATCATAACAGCATTAAGCATTTGTTATACTGTTATAATTTATTTTAACCTAAAATTAAATTAATAAATATAAAAATTTTCTGTCTTGTGTACATTGATTTAACATAAATCTTGGAAACAGACATTTCCATTGTATATATTATGTACAGTACATAGGCCATATTTTGCAAACATTAACTAAATGTGCTAACTTAAATATGAATTTTGTTACAGACATCCTTATAAATCAAACATTTTAAACCGAGAAGTGAGTACAATAAGTATTCATCTATGACATATGTAGATTCATTCATCTTTACAATAAAGCAAATTAATTAATATTAATGTTCTCCAAGAATCAAGAATGTTCTCAGAAGAACATAAATCATGTAACAATGCTGTTTACATGAGACACGCTTTCAAAAAATAATATATATGTTTTAATATAAATAAAATCTTTGATTTTGGATTTGAAGTCTCAAGATGATGATCTGAAATTTCTAAAAATTATTTGTTGTGAAACAATAAAAACAATTTTTTTTAATTCATTCATATATCTCAAACATTCTGCAGAAATTTTTAATTTGGACTACAACAGTTTCAGTTGTAATCCAAATAAAAAATTTAGTAGAGTTTACTTTATGTGTTTAGATTGTTTACAATTTTATTGTAAAATAATATATTAAAACTTTTAATTTTAATGTAAAACAAGACATTAAAATTAAAAGTTTATGAATTAACTTTTAATTAAAATATTTTATCTGATACAACACCAAAATGAATTTTAGATGGAAAATTATTTATTAAATGCTATTTTCTAATTAAGAAATCATTGGTTATTGTTAACCTTAATTTTAAGAATACTAAATAAGTTTTATTCTGATTAGTGTTCATATATTACATATTGTATATTTTTTAATGTGTAGAATGCACATTTAAAGATCAACTTCATGACAACAATTTTTTAATGAGGACTTAATTACTGCTCAGCAGGTGTATTACAACATTTCAATAGCAATTTATTGAACATAACTTAAACAGATAACTTTTAATTTTTTACTTCTATGAGGACGTCGATTGTGTTTACTGTCTCTTTAATCCCAGTTCTACCTGCCATTCAGTAACTGATTTTCTTGTTTAACTGGCAGAACTATAGACAATGCGAAGTAAATGCTCTTGGACAAAGAAGAATTCAAAGCTTACACTGAAAAAATGAATTCTTGAGCTATTTTAATTAAGAAGTCTTCTATACTTAACATATATAAATGTGCTGTTCTAACTGTACATGGGGAGTCGAAGAGTTCTCATTAAGGCAAAAGCCGTAGTTATCCCCACTCTACCTTTAAATTATTATTATTTTTTTAATCCATAGTGAATTACAAGATTTGTAGAATAAATCACACTCATTTTCAAAACTTTCAAAGATAGCACAAAATATTGTGTTCATTTCACTTTTTCACAGTTTGAGTAATTGACTAATTGCTGTCCAAAAAATTTTTCAGCTTGAATTTTGAATTAAGTTTGTTTTCAATTGAAATATTTCAGTTCACATAAACACAATATGATGACTTCTTGTGGTAATTTTCTCACAAAGTGAAAATGTCTTAGGATGCTCATGCAACATATGTATATATTTTTCTGTAAAGAAATTTTATTTAGAAAATTTTGTACGTTTTGATTTATGTACATGGCAAAATCAAAAATAAACCAAAATTTTATTAATTAATATATGTAATATACGTTTTTCACTTACACCTTCAAAATACACACTTCTTTCAAAGTTACACATCGGCTAGTGTTTGTTCTATCAATACATGTCAAAACAACACTGGAAGCCATTTTTAGTGATGTTTTTAAAGGTTCCAGTTGCTGCAATTTCCATTGGCTTCTATCAATCATTTTTGGTCAGCAAATAGCTGATCAAGAAGAGAATAATTGTTATGTCCCAATCTCCTTAATCTGTTGATTTTGTTCCTTGCAGACTATCCTTTCTATAAAATGGAAGAGAAATTGAAGGAATGCAGATTCCAATATGCAACAGAAAGATTTTGCGGATACAAAAGCCATTAAAGATATCAAAAAAGACTTCCAGAATTGCTTTAACAAGTGATATAGGTGTTGGCAGAAATGTTTAGGGGCACAAAGGAACTTATTTTGAAGCTAGTGTAAGAATTTGTGTGTTGTATAATAAAACCAGTGCCAAAAGTTCAGTTTATTTTTGATTCTACTATTAATTTATATGAACAAAAATTAATAGCATAAAAAAATTCAATATGCAAGATTATATATTAAATAAACAAATGTATTAATAAATAAACTATTAAAATTTTTCTAATTAAATTAATTAACCTGTCTTCAGGTGTCCTGGCAAGATATTCTCTTTCAATCNAATGCGAAGTAAATACTCTTGGACAAAGAAGAATTCAAAGCTTACACTGAAAAAATGAATTCTTGAGCTATTTTAATTAAGAAGTCTTCTATACTTAACATATATAAATGTGCTGTTCTAACTGTACATGGGGAGTCGAAGAGTTCTCATTAAGGCAAAAGCCGTAGTTATCCCCACTCTACCTTTAAATTATTATTATTTTTTTAATCCATAGTGAATTACAAGATTTGTAGAATAAATCACACTCATTTTCAAAACTTTCAAAGATAGCACAAAATATTGTGTTCATTTCACTTTTTCACAGTTTGAGTAATTGACTAATTGCTGTCCAAAAAATTTTTCAGCTTGAATTTTGAATTAAGTTTGTTTTCAATTGAAATATTTCAGTTCACATAAACACAATATGATGACTTCTTGTGGTAATTTTCTCACAAAGTGAAAATGTCTTAGGATGCTCATGCAACATATGTATATATTTTTCTGTAAAGAAATTTTATTTAGAAAATTTTACGAGAAATTTAAATAGTTAATACTGTATTTACTCAAATAATCTGTGCACTTTTTCCAAATCATGATAAAAAGGTGGAGTGCACAGTTTATTTGAAATAAATTTGGTGACACAACCCATGAAGTCCAAGGATCCTCCAGTTACCACTTACTAAGCATTTTGCTTACTTTGCTAGTGATGAATATAGTTTATAATTACAAGTAATATTATCAAACATTTTTGTAAGACTAAGGATATATAAAGTAAGTTAAATATGCAACTGAGACTGACAGTAAGTAATCTTACTGTCAGTCTCAGTTGCATATTTAACTTACTTTATATATACCTATTCTACCTCTAAGTTATTGGTCTATTAGCAGTTTTTCACATTGATTCAAATTAAACAGCAAAAAAGAAGTCTTACTAATTAAATGAAAGTAAGTTAATTATAAAATGCATTATTATAATTTGCACCTAATTTATCATCAAATGCACAAATAATTGATTTCTTTTTCCCTTAGCATTTTTATCTTTAAATACCACATGGTATGTAAACTGAGCTCTGCCATATTGAATGCTACAAAACAGCAAGAGTGAAGTGTTTCTATTGTGTTAAAACTACAAATTTGTTAAATATGTAATAAATTAAATTGTTCATGCATAAATTATTCAAATAAGTACAGTAATAGAATATTTTAATGTAAGGTATGAAATACTGGGATATTTTTTTGAAGTATTCAATTTTATCACATTTAAAAGGGATTTTTTTAAATTAGCATAGATTCACACTAATAAAAAAACAGCATGTATTTTTTAAGATCATCATCATGAAGAAACTTCATTAGAAATACAAATTGACAATAAAATTAAAAGCTGCAATTTACATCAAAATCACCAAATGAGTCTATATTATTGCTTATTTATATTTCAAAGAATCACAAATGAACTTAGATTTAAGTTAATTATGATATTACAATATTAATCAATTATGATAATTAAGATTATTGTTTAATGTTTCAAATTAATATTTATAATTTTAAAAACATCACATAATATTATTCTTACAGCTCATTAATTAATGACTGGATATTTTCTATAGACTTTTATAGAATTTCTATAGCAATTTTAGATTTCTATATAAAATACAGAAATTTATATTTTAAGCTAGATACTCAAATATAAAGATTATTCTAAGCTAAACAAAAATATTCTGAAAAATAAATTATTCAAGTAGATTTTAAAATAATCAGTATCAACAAAAATTTGCTATACTCTCCATAAACAGTATCTGAAGTCTAAAATAGAACAGTGAATTTCTATGATTCTTGAAAAACATAATCTTGGTAACTATAGTTTCAGTAACAAATGATAGAATTCTCTCTATTATTATACTATGGTAATACTATAAATTATTATAGTATTACCACTTAAATTTATGAGGTCTTGAAAGTCAATAATTTCTATACCTTTCTCCCATATTTTCTACAAGAATTCACTTTTATATTTTGTTAACAGCTTTGTTGTGTTCAGAAAGGATGTTTTGATTATTTGTATAATCTATATTCTGGACAGAAATTTATTGAAGAAAAAAAATCTTCTAATGACACAGCAATTGTTGGTTTATTTGCACACAACCTAATTTAAATTACAGGAGACTCAAGATTAGGAGAGTACCTCTAACTGGAACTGAAGTCAATGTCAAATCATCATTATCAATGGTGACTTTCTTTGATTATGAAGTGTGTTTCAAATTTTACTCAGGGACAAGGAAAAAACCAACCAGAGCACAAGAGAGAAAAAATCTGGATCTCAAGAACAAAGAGAGAGAGAGAGAGAGAGAGAGAATCAATATATAAAGTTAACTGTGCATTAAGATTGTTGTTCTTGTTGTTTATTTGTGTGTGTGTTCTTGTTATCTGCTGTGTGAATTTCTACAAAGTTTGACTAATGCCAAATTACAGCCAATATAATATGTCTTTGACAAATATCCCAAGAACCTTATCCAACAGAATAAGATTGGCACCCATAGAAATCAGAACACAGGAATTCAAATTTCCAAATATTTAGTGACTTTTGTCATCAACTGTTTATTTTGAGTCGAGATTGTAATTGTTCACTAGTTGTAATCTGTCTTATCCCTCTCAAATAAACGGACTGATTGAGCAAAAAGAAAGCGTTCTCTTCCCAAACTCACTGCAGTCAGATACATGCTTGCATCATTTTAGTCACTGCCCCTCAGATCTGTTTTATTCATTTATTTTATTCAAATAATTCTGATTCCTAATGGGAAATCACCTTATTTATACTTTATAATTTAGCTGTTTTTGCAGCCTCACACTTGTGTGCGACGCTGCAAAAACAACTAAATTATAAAATATTTTGTATAAAAAATGTTTCTTCTTTTTATCAAAGAAAAATATAAAAATCATAGAATACTAAGAAATTTTTCAAATTCATTATTTTCTTATTTTTCAAACTACTTCACAAATTATTATTAAATATAAAAAACTATACTTCATTAATAATAAAAATGTGATTAGAATTCATTAAACAAATTCTGTAAAAGGATATTCATGTTTTCTATCTTCATCTACTTTATTTCTAGTTTCTTTTCTTTCTGGTTCTGATTCTCCTTTAGCAGCAACTAAAGATAACAATTAGAAACAGAAGTTATTAGTAAAAATAAAATCAATTTCTTTGTAAATCAGTGCGAGATGTTTTACAACCATTGGCATAATGTTTGAATTCAAAGTAGACTTTTTGACTAAATTTCAATAGTTACATATTTTAAGATAAAATGGATAAGATTAATTAAAATATAAGATACTATCTGTACCAGGCCACATGTTGCTGTGGCTCAAAATGTATCTATTATAAATGTATAACACTCCCTGCGGAAAAGAATTTCGAAAAATCCCTTCTTAGTGTACATTCTCTTGACGTACCCTATTAAAACACAAAAAACCACATCTAAAATAGTATAATAGAAGCAGAGTTCTTCACAGCAAGCCTTAATTTTGTCCCTCTCCCTTGTGGGGGGATTTCAACATGTATATAATATACAAGTTTGGACATGTGCACCATGTAATTACCTATTTCATATATGTACGCATCTTGCCCCTCACCACCCGCTGACACCAAAAATATAACACTTACCTAAATGATATCTTTTAATTTATATGAATGTTTAATGGAATGATATACAGCCTATGTCCACCCTGAAGGTCCATTCTAAATATTGGTGAAAGAATTTCTGAAATCAGATGAGTAGTTTTGGAGATTACCTCCAAACTTCTTACATCCAAACTTACAAACTTTACCTCTTTATAACATTAGTATAGATTTTGACTTAAAATAATATAAAACTGTTTTAAGTGTTTTATTTATAAACATCTAAAAGGAAATAGTTTGAAATAATACATTCAAATATATAAATTTCTACTCAATCAATAATTTGCATTTATATATAAACATTGCTGATGTCTGTTTAAGAATAGTGAATATGAAAAATATTTATTACAAAGATGATTCAAATTTCAACTTTTCCATTTTTATTGCAACTAAAACATGCAAACATTTGAAATTTATACCAATGTTACCTACATCATCTATTTCTCTACATAATTATCATAACATTGAGGCATTTGTCCTAATATCAGACAGTTTTGGAAATCTTTGCAAAGAAAATTGTGCCTAACCTATGGAAAAAAATCAGCTTATTTTTTTCATGTATTGGTTCCTTTCAAAACACCAACCTTTCAAGTTCTTCAGTACTAGAAATATGTAAAATCACTAAGTGCAAGATCTGAATTGTACAGCAAATGCTGAAGACATTCCCATCCAAAAATCACAATTTCTTTTTGTGTCATCTTGGCAGTATGAGAATGAAGTTGTCGAGTTGGATTACACCAGCAATGAGAAGTTCTGGGTGTTTGTGACAGATTGCTGATTTAAGTCATTGCAGTTTCACAACAAAGTGTAGTACTGACTGTTTCTCCTAGTTCCACAAACTCTCACAGAAGAATGTCTTTAGCAACCCAAAGGTTTTCTCAAGCTTTTCCAGATGACTTATAAAGCTTCATTGGAGAAGATGGATACTTCTATTCCATTGATGTGTGTTTAGATTGTGAAATGAAATGATGGACCCAGCTCTCATCTCCCATGACTAATAGCAAAAGAAAAGCACTATTGACCTCCTAACAATGGAGCAGGTGGTTCAGATTGTATTCCATTCAATGTGAGCAAATATCAGGTGTGAGTCAATGCAGAACCGCACTTGGTAGAACTTTATGGTAGTGCAAGATGTTTCTGATAGTTACATGAACAAAGCCAATTGAATTGTCTATGATACAGACAACATCTCTCACCTTTATGTGTCAATCTTTACAAATCAGCATTTTGATGATGATTTTTTTTTTCACTATCTTTGGTATGGCAATAGTGTGACACACTGACCATCTTCTTTCAACACATGACATTATCTCTGTACCTCTCGAAGCCTCATGGATTTCAATCAAGGTAAAACAAACTCCCACTCATATTGGATGACAATTTCCTGTTCTGTTAAAAATTCTTCAAGCATATGCACATTCATCATTTCTTCAGAACAAAGTTTGAGTGGTCACTCTTCTTTGTGAATGTAGTTGACATCACAGCAAAAGAAATGGCCCCATTCTTGATTTAGGGAGAATGGGCATGTCTGTACAGTATGAAATAATCAACCAAAAATATTGTCTATGAAGCATGAAACAATTCAAAGTTTAAACCAACAATACACAATCTAAATTATGACAAAATAAACTAACATGACTAATCAAGACTATATTTATTTTTTTAAAAAAGGGTAAAACAATCAAACAAAAGTTGTAAGATCATGTTTCCACTCAGCTGTTTTTAACATCAAAATAAATTAAATATAAAGTGAAAGTAAACAATCATTCATAAAGTAGAGAAAATCATCCAAGAAAATGTCAACACAAAAAAATAATAAACAAAAAATATATTCAAAAGAATTTTTGATAGAATTAATCACTCATTTTAGTGAAATAAAATAAAATTTTGTAAAGCTAAAACTAAGCTGCCTTTCACCAAGAAACAGAAGAAAGCTTGTGTAAAGTAGGCCAAAGAATGAAACTAGATGCTATATTAGCAAAAAATATTTAGTAAAAGTATAGGATGTAGTGACAATAACAGCTTTTGTCTATTATAAAAATGAATAACTTAATAATTTAATTGCATTATGCAGTAAAACTGAAATAATTTTTTGAACAGACCTTGGTAACATATTCATCATTTCTATAATATGAAAAATTACGTTATAACTAAAAGTACAGTAGATAATTCAGAGACATAAATTGACATTTTGGATACTTATTATTTTTATCTCAATGATCAAAGATAGCCTGAAGTTTACTTTAGACAATTCTGTTTCAAACATTCCAATTTTTTCCGTTTCACTTATTTTGTAATTACATCTACAATGAACTGCTAACAAAAACAAAATGAAAGAAATAAGGAAAAATCAAAATATTTGAGATAATACCTCCTAAACTGTATCAATGCAATGTTTCAGCAGCCATTTAGAACGTTCAGACTATACACTAATGCAGGTTAAATGCTGCCACAAGCTATTCTCAGAAAATTATGACAATATTTTAAAATGTTCAAAATAATGATTATAGATAAACCACTTAAAATATATTAATCACACTCACCTGCTTGAATTTTTACTCTATGTAATCTTGAAGTAAAAGAATCATTTACAGTAAAATAATGATTTGATTCTGTAAATAAAATATTCAAAAAATACATATATGCTTTATACAATAAAGTTTAGCTATATTTTAGAGAAGTACTTAAAAACAGTTTACCTATTTCTTTGGTTTTAGGTGATTTAATTAATATTCTTTGAGTTGCTTTTCCCATCGCCAAACTTTGTAATGCTCTTACAAGATCTTTATCAGGAATATCTGTTTCATTAGATATTTCCTACAATGAAATAATTTACCATATAAAACATATTTATTTAAAAAATAAATAAATATAGTATTGTTTTAGATATTTTGGATTTATATGTGAATGCCTTGTAGATGTCAAATAATCCTTAAGCAAGAAGCTTACTTTGAAAAATTCATCTTGTTTGGAAAAGATCAAAATTTCATCTATTATTTTTTTAAATAAATGATGAATTCCTGGAAATTATTGTTTCCATACAAAAACCAGGAAAAGATATGAATTACAAATCTTTCTAATTAAGGATCAATATTTTTGACTAATTGTCTCTAAACTCTTGTATTAAATAGGAGTTGAGCATTTTTTCCCCAGAGACCAATCAAACTACCTTCTATAACAAAGTGGGTTTTGGAGAAATAAAAATAATATAACTGATTTTGAAATATCAGTATATGAAGTACCGTATTAGCCCGAATATAACGCGGCCCCGAATTTAACGCAACTCCAAAATTTTCATAAAGATATTTAGAAAAAAAATAATACTCATAAAAGAATTCAAAGAAAGTAAAATTCAATCAGATAAGCATTTATTTATGTAATTACAGTAGAGCGTCGTTTATCCGAATCAATTGGGGACTGGGGTGGTTCGGATAACTTATTTTTCGGATAACGAATCATGTACGAAAAAATATATTAATTTATCCCATGTTGAAATTTTTCTCCGTTGCGTGTCGCTTCGCGTTGAATTTTCGTCGATGTTAAGCCTAACGAAGACTATTGTATCGTTAAAAATTATTTTTTTATTTTATACAAACAAAATAAATATATTGAAAAATATAAAAACAATAAAAAATTATACTTCAGATGTTAATTTAGTATCAAAAACGTAAAATATTTGAGTAACCCAAGAAATAGCCAAAGATTGCAGCGCCACAGCACTAGCGAAAATTTAAATTTGCCGACTGGAATGCTTTTGGATAACCAGCTTTCGGATAAATGACGCTCTACTGTATAGCTAATAACACAGGCAACCTCTGTAGGAAAATGTCCCTGTTTATATTACATTCCATTACTTAAACCCCGAATTTAGCGCGAGTCGATTTTTTAACGGAAAATAAATGGTCGAAAAATATCGCGTTATATTCGGGCTAATACGGTACTTCTAAAATCATTTAGTATCTATTTGATACAGAAAAGGCTTGATTGATAATGTTGTGCTATGATCTACATCAATTTAAATTGTGAATAAATTTACCAATACTTATCAAATATTTCTTGCAGCTTTGTAATTTCAAATATATGATGGCATATTATTATTTAGGTCTTGCATAAAAAGCTATACCTCTCAATGTTATATTTTGAGCATAACTCTATTTCTCATTAAAATAAAAGATACATCCAATTGGAGCCAGTCTCATCACATTTGAGACATGTTTATTCAAAAATAGAAAATAAGTTTTGTTTCTGGCCCAATACACTGGACAAATAAATATACAGTCCATTTGAGATGATGCAGATGCATGTTATTAAACATATTGCATTCATTCAGGATATATTTTGTTTAGAAAATAGTTACAATATTGATATAAAATATTGATTGATTCAGCAATACCCCTTTAAAAGTATTGCTGAATCAATTAATTAGTCTATATCACTATTGTATTGCATGTAGCATTTGTGCTGAAACAATTATGATCAATTTTAATTACCTCAAGAGGATTCTCATCAATTTACTTAACACAAATTATATGTGATGGATACTAACTTTAATTTGATCATTAAAAATTCAAAAATTTTAAAATATAGTTTGAAATTCCAGAATTCTCTTTTGATTTGAAATTTAAAACATTTTTGAAAAATATTTTATTTTATAATTTTTTTTTCATAATTTGATATGATTGAATTAAAATATAAATAAATTAAATTTCAGTCAAATCTTTTCATAGATACTCTCACTCATACTATTTTATTATCTTATTAGCTAATTAATTTATTATCTAACAGAGCTACAAAAGACAATTCTTGAAAAAATAATTTGATTCCTTGTCCTTTTTCCAACTGTAAACAACAAAACTTTTCTTATGTGATAAAAATATTTAATATTTAAATATGTAGAAATTTTTTGGATAATATAATTAATTTTAAAAATAAGTTATAAATCTTTATTACTATTTGTCAAACAAATTAAATGAATGTTAATTTTAAAATTAACATTCATTTAGTTTGTTAAACAAAACTATTCAAAACAAAATGTTCACAAAACTAGACATATTAAGAAATCTCTGTTTAGAAAGATGCCTCAGAATACAACATTTTACAGCTGATCAATGCTTATTTTCACAGCAAAAAACTACTTGTCATCATCAATGAATAAAATACATAAGATGTTGTTAATAAATAACTACGATCACAATCTATAATTGTGTTTTAGCATTACTGGACAATATAAAAAAAAATTATTGATATCAAAATTGACATACTTTAATCTATGAAGCAGTCTTTCAAACAGATAGTTTGTAGCATACCCGATAAATACCAAGGAGACATAACATATGTTTTAGGTCTAACTTCATCATTATAATGTTATTTTTTTTTAATAAAACTGTTTTTGAGCTAATTAAGTAATTAATAAAAATTGTTGAATTGGAAAAAACAGCTTGTTTGGCATATTGAAAAGTTAGAAATTATGCCATCATATTTAAGGCTGAGACTCCACCATAAAAACGGTGTAAAAACCCCTTGCCATAAAAGCTTTTAATCACGTGACCCTGATATTTTACGCCTGAGCAGGTCGTAAAACCAGCGTAAAAGCGAGTTGAGCAGTGTTCAACTTTGGACGCAAATGCGGCCGTAAAACAGTACCATCCAACAATCAGAAGTCAGTTAAATCTAGGTCATTGTGACGCAGTGTGAAAATGGCGGAAAACGAGCTTTTGTGTACGTTCCCTCGTGGCTACTCTAGAATAGATCTGGAAAGATTTATCGAAAACATCCGAAAGTATTCGTGTATCTACGACAAGAAGTATCCCGATTATAATAATGGATGCCTAAATCACGCGATACAGATGGCCAAAGGAAAATCCTTCAATTTAGAGGAGTATATAATGAAAAAAGCTAAGCTTAATAAGTGCTGTATATTATCTTAATTAATAATACGATAATAAAAGTTAATATATGAAAGTAAAGATATTATTTTTACTACATTTGTAATTACAGTACAGAAAAACTCGTAGAATATAATCATTGTCTTTATAACTTCGATAGTACCGTTGCCATAAAACTTCGCTAGCCGGACCGCCACCGCAATTCAGACGCAAACGCAAATAGGTCACGTGATTAAAAGTTTTTACGCCCGTTTTTACGCTAGTGGAGTCTTGGCCTAAATCTGCGCTGTGACAGTGTGTGAACGTTTTTAAAAAATTTCCAATGCAAAACTTGTGAAAGAAAACATCTGGTTAAATTATTATCTAGCCACACTTTGTGCATGCAAATATGTACATTGGTTTAAATCCTATTAATAAATTACTTACTTCATAAGAAGCACGCTCTCTAGAATTAAACAACATTAAAATGCACATCTGATACGTCGAGACTTGTATAATGTGCTTCCTTGGCATACAGGTTCTATCAGATGTAGAAGTCGGGGAAGATAAGGAAGATGATGATGCTGCTGCTGCTGCAGTTGACCCATCCTTGCTATCCGTCTCTTCTTTACGAGGGCCATAAAATACTGCATTTAAATCAGCCCATCCAAGTTGAGGTTGAAGAGTCAGTTGTCTTCCACTATGTTTTGCTAAGTAAAATCTATAAAAATGTATTGACATCTTTTTACAATACTATTTCAAAACTGGATTTAAGTTCAATTGCCAAAAGCATTCAAAGGGGAAAATAAATACCCATTTTCAATTTNATTCGGACCTCTCAGTCGACCCCTGTTCGGGTCCTCACAGTATGGTGGAAAAAAAAAATGAAAATGTATAATTTATTTATAATTTGGTTATAAATTACATTTAAAAAAAATATAAAATTTATAAGTTTTTTATTTTATCTATTGAATTTTCACAGAAAAAATTATTTTTGACCAAAGTAAATGAATTATTTGTATATTTCTAGTCATTAAATAGTTTTTATAATTATGAAAAACAACCAATAAATTTCACTATCTTGGAAAGAAAACTTAAATAAATATATAAAATTCTATAAACAAACATAATAAATTTTAAAATGTCATGATGTATGCAATTTATGAAGCTCAAAGTCCATTTTAACTTTTTATTAAACCTTTTGCGGACCACCCTGACGTTGTCCATGCATCTCAAATTAATTTTAATTTGCTATGGACCCCATCAGCACTTCCAAGGAATTAATTATATATATATAGCTCAACTTACACCTGACTCTTGAACACGTTTCTTAAATTCTTCCATCATCGTATTAGATACAGACATATCTTTAAACATTCCTTCTAATTTTGAAGTAAACTGGCAACCACATTCAGTCTTGAAAAAGAGAAACAAAAATATAATTTTGTAACTTCTCAAATAATTTGTAAATATACTCAGAATATATGAAAGTATAACATGTTTCATTAATTTTAATTTTTAAAAATCTTAACATTCACAATAATTCTGGTTTCTATACTTTTAAAGTAGATCACTGCAACAAAATAAAGGTTCAAGCTTCTGATAATAAAAAACACACAAAAAATAAGCACACAGCAATAAATAAAAATTATATTAAAGTTATAGTGGTTAAATAATCACTTTGAATTTAAACTAAAAAAATGATTATGCTAAGCAATATCTGAGCATTCAGCTTGCTTAGTATATAATTGATTATTCTGATTTGAATTTTTTGTAAATTTGTCAAATTACAGTATATCTTGAAAATTCTGCTGAAATTATAATATCATGTATTAGATTTCCTGACATCATTTAAAATAACTGATCAAAATTCATATTTGATGTGATCCCATTACATGATCAATCAGTTGGATGAAAGTTAATTCTCATTCTGTAAGGAATTTATTCATTCCTCAACAACACATTAAAACAATGTTATAGATGCAACTGTGCTTGATAATAAATAAAGGAAGAGTAACATGAAAAAGAAATAATATAATAAAAATATTCATGATTAGTAATCTGAATAGATATTAGGAAAACTAAAGATAGTAGTTGTGGAAAACTCCTAATGTTAGTCCTAAACTACAAGTTCTCAATTTAAGTTGCTAAAAATTATATATATACACACTTTAAAATAAAATAATCCAAAATGTAATTCACATAATAAGTCATTAAATAAGTGTATATCAATCAGATTCCCAAATCCAGATTCTTGCAATCTTATTGCTATGCCAGTCAGAAAGATCAAGCTCTTGAATTCTGAAAAGATAGTTCAGCTTGCTATAAATTAAACTTATCACTATGCTATGTATTAATATTGATATAAGCAAAACATGAAATATTATTTTTTAATAAACACCCAAAATTTAAATCCTAACATGATTTTTAGCACTTTTATTATTAACATCATGGTAATATTAGTTTGAGGAAATTTTGTTTTTGCAATTGAATACAAGTGTAGTCTTATGAATTGGTTTGAGAATTGTTGCAGCAATTATTTCATCGCTATCCTAGTAAATTCTTTTCTATAAGTATTATAGAAAAGAATTTGCTAGAGTATTGCAACAGTCTTAGTTATTTAACATTAAATTGTAAGATATTTTATTACATTGTGTACATAACAGTAACATAATAAGAACATATGTATAAATGTTTGTATTAATGTCTACAATTGTCAAACTGGGAAATATTAATAATCTGAGAATTTATTACTAATTAATGTGCAATTTTCCATAATAATAAAATAGAATTGTTTTAATTCTATATACAAAAAATAAAACTATTGCAAAACTGGGTCCCATTTGTAAGAATGTACTATTAAGCTTCTATATTTCTCTAAAATATGAACAAGACAAAATAAAGGCAATAATAACTAATTTGTCATAAAGTAATATATTAAAAATATAAATAAATGTAGTTATCATTTTCATTTATCCTTGCTCTAATTCATATAAAATATTCTGTATGTTTCATTTCCTAAACTAACTGACAGCAAGTACTTAACAGCTAGATTTGACAGAGTTAGCACAATTGAATAAATCTAAAAACATTGCTCATGAAATTGCAGATTCATTCCTAGCCTAATAAACCAACTTGACAAATAATAGATTCAACAGTCTCTAAGGATACTAGAAATAACATGATATAATAAGATAATATAAAGCACCTATAATTATATTAAGTAAAGCAACATATATTCTCTACATGTCAAGATGGAAAGGTAAGAAAACAGCTAGAAAAAGTTAATTTTGCTCATTCTTAGGAAGCTCTATATTAACAGATCTAATTAAATAGTAATGTGGATGAATTATTAAATACTTGTAATAAAACAAAAGCTAAAAACATATAACTGGCTATACATAATGATGTCTGCTATATACAGGTGCTCCCATACTTACAAACAGGTTAGGTTCCCAAAGTTTTGTCATAAGCTGAAAACTAACCTAGAAAGTACATCTGTACACAGAATAACCAGTTATTGTTACTGTTTGATCCTTTGATGTACTTTATAGAATACATTACACCAATGGTTTCCAAACTTATTATGCCCACAGATCCCTTCTCATAGCAAAAACCTGACCATGAACTCCCAAGTGAAATAACTCTACACAACTACATAATAGCAAAATTACAAATTTAACTTTGATGTCTTGAATGGTAAATCGTGACAAAAAAATAAAACATTTTGATATTTAAAGTAATATTTATTCAAATTATTAGCTAAAAGTTTGCCCGTTTTTGGAAAATGAGTATAGTATTGTGAGGTCAGCCGATTAGGGTGAGGTTTTTTTGACAGCCGAGCGGTTCTTTCTGTTGTGTGGGCGCAGACTGACTGCCTGAGACAGGTTTACCATGTAACCGTTTATTAAACATAGAAATTTTCCTTACAAATTGCTTGTTAGACGAGGTAGCACCCCAAAGCGCACGGATAAAGTTCGAAATAAAGTTCGTAAAAGTCGGTTTTCGTCACTAGTGGATGGACGCTGCCGGTGAAACACTCGGTGGGCCCCGAGGCGTTGATTACAGCTTTTGGCGGCTTCTCGCGGACGAACCGACGAATCTGTCGATTGCTAGGAGCACCCAGAGAACGATGCTTCCACGATGTTCCAAAATGTCCTTTTTTTTCTAAGATCTGGAGCACGCCCGTCCAGGAGACGACACACTACGTATCCAAACACCAAGAACCAAAAACTACGAACCAAGAACCTTCGTCTCTTGAGTCGCACAAATTTATAGATTTTTTTACAGCAGTCGCCTCTCCATTGGTCTCTCATTGTCACCTGGTGACAATTCGAAACCTAATGGAGGGCGCGGGAGAGGTTAACATAGCGACTGAATATGATCCTCTCTCTCGTCGCGTTTTCCTCGAATTTCTCCGTTTCCATTGTTTAACTAATTTTCCGAAAAAAACCAATTGCATTGTTCAATCAAGACACCTAATCTGTTTCCTTATCGTCTGAAAAGGAGCTCTTTATTTTCGATCGAACCCATAATTCGGACCTCTCAGTCGACCCCTGTTCGGGTCCTCACAGTATGGTGGAAAAAAAAAATGAAAATGTATAATTTATTTATAATTTGGTTATAAATTACATTTAAAAAAAATATAAAATTTATAAGTTTTTTATTTTATCTATTGAATTTTCACAGAAAAAATTATTTTTGACCAAAGTAAATGAATTATTTGTATATTTCTAGTCATTAAATAGTTTTTATAATTATGAAAAACAACCAATAAATTTCACTATCTTGGAAAGAAAACTTAAATAAATATATAAAATTCTATAAACAAACATAATAAATTTTAAAATGTCATGATGTATGCAATTTATGAAGCTCAAAGTCCATTTTAACTTTTTATTAAACCTTTTGCGGACCACCCTGACGTTGTCCATGCATCTCAAATTAATTTTAATTTGCTATGGACCCCATCAGCACTTCCAAGGACTCCCCAGGGGTTCGTAGGAACCACTTTGAGAAACATTGCATTATACTCATTTACCTGTTTGCTACTGCTTAGTACCAGTTGTTTCAAATGCAATTTTTTTCACCTAAAGCACTTAATTTTATAATGTCAAGTTTAGTTTCCATGATAATAGAGAAACACTTCTTGCAATTATCTCCATTGTTAGATTTTGGACACATTTTTGAAGCACTAATCATAAAAGTTTTATAAAAATTGCAACGAATAGCAAAAAACACCATTACTCCGACATTACCAACCTCAATGTCACCTCATGCAGTGGTGGAACATAGGAATTTCTGCAAAAACAATAAATGATGATACGCAATAAAAATAAATTCACGTTAATTGTTTATTAAAAATTTATTATGTATTACTGGCCAAAGGCTGACTTTAATGCCACCCCACAATTGGCAAGAGAACTTCAGAATCTGCACAACATTTAAATTTTAGAACTACGGTCAAATTGTTTAAGTCCAAAAGTTCATAAATTGAACATTCATAAGTACCTCCTGTATCAGAAAAAAGTAAATGGTCTAGGAAACTTCTGTAATATATCTTAAATGAATCCAAGACAAAATCATAGAAAACCAGTTTTTTAAAAAATAATAATAAATTATTCAGCATTTTAACCCAAAAAGAATGAACTTTCAAATAAGGAAATGAAGTTTTATACACCACTTTTACAATTTTACTACATATTTTTTGAAAACTAAGAAAACTCATTGAAAAAATAACAGTTATATATAATACAATCTGCTTATTGTAATACTGTATTTTTGTGGAATGACCAGCATGCCAGTAACCTCAGGATCTCTGGCATGCTGGTTAAACTGTGACTAAAATATAAAATTGATCAGATTTATTTAACATTTTATTAAATATTTATTTTACATTTATTAAACATTTATTCAACTAGTTGTTAAATAAATGTTAAAGAAAACATTCTTCCCAAAACAATAAAATAATAATATAATTTGACTGACTTAAAATCAGGAAGAGAGTTTTTGTTTACAAGACAATAAAACTATTAACAGCTTATTAACATTAGTAGTAATAGTTAATAGTAGTAGTTAGTCAGTGTGGGCTGCACTAACAACCTACTCTAACGATAAAAATAACAAATTTCACACAAAGGGATGTTAATGGGTGTAATCTGAGATAATTTACAGCCAGTTTCTTAAATTTAATATGCTTGTTTTTTCATTTTTGTATTAAATAACAATAAAATACACACAAAAAAAGCACTTTCAGAATTCCAAGAGTATTTTATGTCATTAGAAAGAAGACAAAATGAAAAATTAAACATATAATCGTAGTTTTTGATGTAATGCTGACAGTTTCACAGTTTTAGAATAAAAACTTGTTTGTCTTTTTAATGTGCTTTTTTAAATGTGCTAGAGAGAGATGTATAACCTCACTTAAACTGACATGCTAGGACATGCTAGTGTTCCCCGAGATAAATCAGCATGCCAGTTTTTACCATACAGAAATATCTGATTTCATGGTCTCCCCAAATAGACTGACATACTGATCATTCTGCGAAAATATGGTAACAAATATTGTTATTAGTTCTAATCTTTGTTGCAGTAATTTTCTTAATTATAATTAAAATTGCATACTTAATTATACTTGAGTTTATTTATCATCATTGAAAGATTTTTAATAAGTAGAATCAAGTAAAACTGAGAGTGTAATTTTAATTGTTATCAGTTGTTTAATGTGTGTTAGGACATACTAAATCTGATAAGTTAAAATATTATAAAACTTCATTTATTGTAATCAGAGTTTCAGTTATAATTATCAATATCTTAAAACAAATAGGCTTTTTAAGCCTTTTTCAATCTATCAACCTCAAAATGTGGCTGATAATACCAATCATCATCAGTTTTAACCAGTGCTTTAAATATTAAATGTCAATCATTATTTGCTTATAGAACAAGCAGTTTAGATAGTTGGAATTTCTTAGAATAAAGTGTATGCTAACTTGTTGAAGATATTAACAGAAAATCCACAACAAGAGCAAACAGGAAAAAGTGGAAACATTGAAGTTGAAAAAAATTGATGTGACATTTTAGACCTAATGCAACAGTGCAGCACTGTACATTGTACAGTACATGCCCATGCTTTCACTTTTATTTATTATTTCATCTGGGATGATGAAACTGATCAACTCAAAGAGAGTATTTCATACAAAGGAATTAAGTATCAAAATAGTCATTAAGGAGGATTAAAACCAATGCATTCTATAAAATAAAAATTTGTTCTAAGTTTCGTCATCTAAAGAGATGATTGACTAAAAAGAATGGTCATATAAAGTCTTACTATATATATATTTTGACTTTTTGCATATTTTAGCAAAGAAAAAAAAATTGTGTCAGTTTTTATGTTTTCAAAATAATCTAAACAATTATCCAAACAATTTATACAAACATGTATCTATTTCACAGTACATAATTTATTTTATCCACTTATAAATTAACTTTCCATTGATTACTTTTAATTTCAAAACACAAAATAAAATGTATCCATTCTCATGTCAATAAAGGAAATAATATAAATGTTAAAATAACTGGCTGTCTTTTACACAAAAATTACAATTGACAATCCTATTAATTAATTAACAGTGTTTATTATTTAGTAGATTTTAAATAGCAAATTTTAGATGTTTATTGATAAAAACTGATAAACTGAATGAACTTTTGGTATATTGTATATTAGATATATTTATAGATTATCAATATTTTTATTATAATAAATTAGTTATAATATCACTGTAAATTTACATATCTCAAAAGTAAAGCTAAAGTTTTGAAAATCAAAATCTCAGGAATTTGAGATCAACTGCAAAATAAAACAAACTGAAAATGTAACTGGATAGAAAGAAAAACAGAATTAAATTAACAGCATTTTATACAACACAGGTTTATAAAAAGTATGATTGTACCATATGCATCAGCATATTAATAAAAATTGTAATATAGTCTTATACATTAAAAGGAAGCATACATACATATTTTATTATTGTTTAATTTGTTTTGAGTTAATTTAACTGATGATAATTCAGCTAATAAATTTTTAATTAATAATAAATTATAATAAATTAAATAAATAAATTTAATTTTTAACAAATTTTTAAAAATAAATTTTTGCATCATTAAAGTCCTAAACGAGAATAACTCCTTAGTAAGTTGTTCATATGTAATATCAAATAGTTATAATCTTTATCTGCTTTAAACTTTGTTTTTATAGTTTATTAAAGAACATTATAATATGATTACAAAATCATAGAAATAGTCAAATAGAGAATCTGATCAAATTTAAATGCTAACTTCAAATAAGGTTAGATATTTATTCATATCTAATACATTAAAATTTTTATGAATTTCAAATACAATTTTACTAGCTAAATCTTAACAGATGACAAATATTCAAAGATTTCAATGTAATGCTCATTGTAGTATTGGTTTTGATAATATAACATTTAGTGAAGTGACATATTACTAATTCTATTATAAATCTTAAAATTTTTAGACTTTTTATAAGATATTTCTCATTACATTTTTTAAAACTTACCAATTCCAAGACATATCTGAGACTGAATTATAAAATATGTTACAAATTTAGATAATTTTCAATTAGTTCACAAGTTCTGCTAAAGAAATTTTTGTATTATTTTTGTATCTGTTATGCTTCTCAAAAGAATATAATACATTTATATGATAATCTTGAAATTCAATGCCAATAATCAAATTCAATATTAGTATTTAATAAAACTGAGATAAGCAAAACAAAATTTTCTCAGAAATATGGAGAGAAATTTATAACATTGAAAAGTGAATCATTAAAATAAAAATGATTAGAACGTTCAAATACATACAACTATTTATTTTATAATGTAAAGAAAAAATTGTTTTTATAAGGAGAGTTTTATTTTTAATAATAACTAATAAATATACAATTTATACTATTTAAATAGACACTACAATTAACATCTTCCCCCCTGCTAAAATAAAGAGCTATAAAGTTAAATTAATTAATTAAAGAAGTTTGTTTTAAATTTTAAGGGGGACTTTAAAAGTTATTTGCTGATAACAATTGTTCATCATGATAAGGATCTAAGAATGGATTTGGTCACTACAAGATTAAAATACAAAAAACTATTAATAAATTAAATAACTTACCTTTAGTTTTGATATCATGTTTTTTTCAGAATCATCAGACACGCTTTTGTTTAATAAAAGACGCTTTGCTAAATGTTGTTTGTAATATCGTTCAAAAACATCTTTTTCTTGTAGATATCTGAACAAAACCATTGTTTTATCTAAAACATGTTCTATTTCTTGTTCAGTCATCTGTAAAAGTATTTAATGTATATCAATATCAATTCTATAATTTTTCTCAAATCAAATTTCATAATTTTGTATTTTTGCATAATTTAAAACTTTTAGATATTTTTATATAAAATAAAATTTGTTTGTAATAATTTAGAATGAATTAATACTCAATTTTACAATATAATTTTTATTCATGTATGCTCTTCAAGAATTTAATATCATGCATATATCACAACCACATTGCATCATTTAAGATATGATGTACACATATTGATAAATCCCATAATAATTAGATATTATTACTTTTACATAACTTAATAAATAATAATGTTTGATTCAATAAGAAGATTAGTATGATTTCATGTCATATTTATCATCATTTTATATAGTTTAGTGATAAAAATTACCATAAGAGATAAAAAATGTCAAGTTGTATTCCAATCAAAAATATAAATTATCACCAGATAAATGTAAGAAGAAACATGCAGCATTCATTGCTGTAAAAAAACTAAAACCTGAAAACCAAACAATCGGAACCATATATTACGAGATCAAAAATTGAAGTTGAAAAAAATAATTATTTTAAGAATAAAATAAATTTTTCAGTAAAAATCATTAAATGATTACTAAAACAATGAATAATACAGCAGTATAATGATGCAATGCTATATGAAAAAAAAAACACAAAAATGTATCAAGTATGGTGCATTTAAAGCAATCCAGAAAATTACTGTAATAATCAAAAAATATATTTAATAGGAAAAATAAAAATTTGTTTGGTAAGAAAATTTTTCACTTAAAAGATAAATAAAACGAACTACAAGAGAATAAGAGAAAATAAAAAGATGCTATTAAACCTATATTTTTAATTTATTTTATTTTGCAACAAAATTTAAATGTTTTTATTAAGAGAAAAATTATTCATTGTTGTTTGGGTGCTCTTCCTCTTTGCAGTAGAAAGCTACAGCAACACCAAATTAATTGTTTTCTGATGTTTTTGCATAAATTTTTCATTTTTTATTTGAATCATTATTCAAAATTATGCCAAAAGAGAACATTTTAAAAATATATATAAAAAGTCCAAATTGTGCAGTACCAAAAGACAATGGTAGTGAGATAGTAAGGAGTGACTAGTTGCCTGACTGCCAGTTTTTCTCAATCTAAATTGACAACATGTTGCCAGCAGTGTAAGTACAGCATATTTTTGCTTTCAAGTTTTTCACTACTAAGTAAATTTTTATGTGTATGTATAAATTTCTCTGCACTTTTCAAAATGCACATGCAGCTTTTTTATTAAAATAAGTTTATGACATAAGTTAACAGTGTATATATACTGTAGTTCATTTAAAACCCCTGAATAATTTTTATATAGTATAGAGGGCTATTTTGGATTATTCATGTTTTCCACACATATCCATGCACTAATTAGCAAAGATAATCAGAAGTTTGATGTAGAAGAGAAGTTGGTATTATGGAACTCCATTTTCATTTTAGTGAATTGTAAACAAGGTATCATAACTACACCCACATTTTTTGTGCGAAAAGTACTGGTAACTATTAAACTAAACATTCCTAATTGGATTTTTCACTAGTGTAACTATAAGTATGGTTTTTGAAGGCTTTTGTACAAAAAGTCAGAAAGTAGGCTGAAAAAAATCGGGTGGTAATATGGAACCTTACTGTATGTTTTCAAAAAAATGCTTTAATGTATCCAAAAACAAATGGGAAAGTACAAAGAATGTTAAATAATTACAAAATTATTTACTCCAATGTATTTTATCGAAAAAATGCTTTTATAATAGAAAAATATGACCTCCATCAACAATACATATTCCAGCAGCTCTTTTTCGATATTCTCAGGAAGAATTGTCTTTCTACCTAGTGTCTTTTTCACAAATTGCTCCGAAGGAATGTCTGCTTGCAAATAGAGACTTCAGAGGAGTTGGGTTCCATATTAAAAGCACCAATGGAATCGCCATCTTGAATTAACTTATGTCTGTCAAGACCAAATTTTAAAAAAACATGAACATCAAACAGATTAATATGTACCCTTAAGTCTCTGGAACAGAATACATGCACCAGTGAACCTACAGCTACATGATTTATATTTTAAAAATAACTAAATTCACTTAGCATTCAAAACTTGCAAATTTTGAAAAAAAAAAAAAAAATTTGCTGATTAAATACGGACAACCGTTTAACTGAAGTGAAACGGGTTTTCCCCTTGCTATGGATGTCTGCCTAGTTCAGTTCAGCAACAATCCACTACAGTTCGCCTTTATTATCAGTTCAAAATGGGGTGGTTCCATAACACCCGCAGTGTTCCATAATACCACTTCTTCCTCTACTTTGAAAAAAATCATACAACATTGGCAAGTTTCCAGCTGCAAATAATTAATTTAGTATGAAAATGAGATTCCTATTTCAATTCCGTATTTATTTTCAAATATACAATAATACCATTCTACTTAACTGCTTATGAATCACTCAAAAAACACACAACATTCAAATTAAAAAGTTAATATTTTTTGCTATTTGTTATTATTATTATTTTGTTATTGTTGTTATTATTATTTTGTTATTATTGTTATTATTATTATTAAGAAAAAATATAATAATAAATAGATTAATTGTAAATAATACAAGAAAGATTTACTGTTATAAATGTGAATAAAAATATTGTAATTACCCCCCTGTAACAAGGCTTGCCTTTAATATTAATGAAGTATTATCATAATAATAAATATTATAAGATATTTTTGCTTAAATATAAATTATAGAAATGTAATTCAAATATAATAGTTTTCTTGATAAGTTATAAACGTAAAGATTTTTCTGAAAAATAAGTACTTAAGTAATAGGGCTAAATATTTTAAGCTATTAATGTCATTTTATTTATTTACTTTGCTTTCATAAAGAAATCTCCATCAATTGGATTAATTTATATTTCAATACTTTTTTGTTTCATATCTAACTTTATCTACATTCACAACTAAGTTTCTCACATTTGTTTCAAATCATTTTTAAAAATTTGTTTTGTAAATTTTTAACCAAGTTTTCAGTGTTAGGTAAAGGAGTTTTCAAAAGTAAATCCAGTCAGTTACTTCTTTATTCTTACAATTTTTCATAACATTCCTTTCACAGCAAATTTTTCATTTTAGGTATATTAAACATCATTCAATGTAATGCTAAATTAATATTTTAAATGATATATATAGCAAAAATATTTATTAAGTAAATTCAAACTGTTAGTATATAAAATACAATAATAAATTCTAAATTAATAAAATGCATTAAAAAAGTTATGTACTTACACCTTTGACTCCTTTCTTTAACTTATCATCAATAAATAATGACAAATATTCTGGCGATTTTGGATTCAAATTTAAAAAATATTCAAAATCACTAGCAATCATTTGTTTAAAATATCTATCAGAATTAAATGAATGATATAAAAAATGATCAAATCTATCTTTCAGATCCAATAGACTCTAAAAATAAAAAATGAAGTTGTATTAATTTAAGAATACTATTGCTGTTGTTACTTTTTTCTGTATACATTTAGAAAATGATTTATTTATCAAATACCTGGACAAATGATAATGCATCTCCTTTACCACCTTCATCTTCAGTAACTAAAGCCTTTCCTTGTTCTCTAAGATATGAACTTACACATTCAGCCATTGTTTTTAAACCATCATCTACTCTACTAAATAGTTTATACATGCAGGCTAAATCTGTAAAATAATTAGTTATTATGTTAATTATATGATATTGAAAATCTTATTCCATCAAATCAAAAATCAATAAAGAAAATTATCTAGCATAAAAGGTTTAGGGAGTTATTTTGTTTCATTATTGGAATAACTATATGATTTTATACTATAAAGATAGGTTTTATGTCATTAAGAGATATAATAAATATTTTAAATTACGTTTTATAAACTGTTGTGCTACTAGCTACAATAATAAATAAACAACGACTGGATAAATTAATAGCTAAGTAGCAGTCTACCACCTTGGTAAACCTGAGATTGAATCCAAACAAGTCAAAAAACCTAGAAATTTTTCAGGGATGGTCCATCTGAATATGTTGGGTCCCATCCTTCACTACCTAGTCACCCCACTGTGGGTATGGCAAAGCCCTTAATGGGTTTGCTTATAAGAGGCCTTCTTAGTGCTCATAGGGCAGAAGGAGTAAAAAAAATTCTGATGCAATTTCTTTCCTTTTTAGATAACTATTATTATTTGATTAATTATAAATAATTTTTTTGATATTAAGAAAAATCAACTTTTGTTAGTTAATGGATAAAAATTTTAATAACATTAATATAACATATTATCATATTTATAATAAACAGGAAAAACATAACTCTAAAGTAAAAATCTTTTTCAAAATTTATTGCTACATTGTTATATCTATCAGTTATTCATTATTACATTGAATAAAGATAAAGTATACTGTCAGTATAAATTATTTTAGTAATGAGAGAAATAAATATTTTAAATTGTTATAAATTTAAAAATACAGTGAATGTCTGAAGCACAAATTTCTATAAATTTTTCATTATATTTGATACAATATATAAATATTGTCAGTAATTTGTTTAAATCAAATGGATATTATTCTATGAATTTTAAGTACAATTCAAAAGATAATGATTTCTTATATTTGATAACATTATTAGATAGTTTTGAATAAAATAAATAAATTAATTAATTTAAATACCATCAAAAATAAAAAAATAAAATATTTGACTGACTTAAATTTAATAAAACTAACAGTATTTAAATTCTCATATTTAGAATTCCTACTTTTGTTTTAAATTCCATGAGTTTGCCTGACCCTCAAGTCTGTTACAGTATGGCAAATTGACAAAATAAAACAGCATTTGATTTACTATGCACATATGCTATTACTTCTCTAACTTTTTAATTAGTTATTTTTTTCTAATTAACAGTTATATATATTTTTTATAATTGCCAAATTGTTAAAACTAAAAATAAAATGTTTTATTAAATTGAAGTAGTTTATTCTGTTATTAATCCATAACCATAAATCTATATGGCTTTGAAAAAAAGCATTTATTTATTTATTATTAACAAATCTTGTAAAAAATATACTTTTATACATGGATTAATCAAATTTATCTCTTAACAAGTAAAATGGCAAAACTGTATTTGGGACAAGACTATGTCTCAGAGACGAAATCACTTTGATGCTCAAGGTGGGTCTTGTTCTCATTCTCTTATCTTCTTTGATATCGCTGCTTTTGGGTGCAATTGTCCAAACTTCGTCAGCCATGACCATGAGATCTTCCACAATGCATATTCGATGAAATTAACTGATCTAATTTCAAAATTTCTCTCCGCTGCGTGTCAGCCCGGGTTGAATTTTTGTCAATGCATAACGAAAAGTTCCCATTTTTGAAAAAATAATCGTGGCTATTGTATTGTCCGAAATTATTTTTTTATTTTGCACAAACAATATACAGTTTAACCCGATTATAATGTCATCGAATGTAACAACAACCCTAATATAACATCAAATTTTTATTGGTACTATGATTTTACTATACTATTAGGTTGTTCGGAAAGTAAGTTTGTTTTTTTCCATGGAAAAAAACACAATATTTTTATAATAAATATTTTATTGAATTATATATTGACCATTTTGGTCAAATACCTGTTGTCATCGTTTCTGGTAGTAGCATGATTTCACATTTATAAAAGTTTTGATCATTGCTTACAAAAAAACTGATCCAAGTGATTTTTGACATTGTCATTTCAAGTAAATGTCTTACAGTTAAAAAAATTTGTATAGACTGGAACAAGTAATAATCTGAGTGTGCTCGATTTGGCAAATATGGTTGGTGTGATAGCATGTCCCATCTAAGTTATAACAGTTTCTGATGAGTTATCAAACTTGTGTGAAATTTGACATTATCATGGTAAAACACTACATCTGTTTTGTTGATCAATTCTGGCTGCCTTTTCTGTTTAATAATATTACTCAATTTGTTTATTCGATGGCAGTACACTTTCGAATCAATTGTTAAATTGTCTGGTAAAAGCTCCAAAAAAAAATTTCCTTAAAATCCCACCAAAGAGATCATCTCTCTAAGAACATGTGGAACCCATATATCAAGCTTTGAAATGAAACCAATTTGTTTCAAGTAATCATAAACAGATCAATTTGACAAATTTTATCTCTTAGCAATTTCACGTGTTATTTGGCAGTTTGCTTCAATCAGTACCTTTATTCTGTTTTCATTGGCTTCAAATGGCCATCCAGAACATGGTGCATCTTCAATATTGAAATTTTGTAAACCATGTCTTACAGTTAAAAAAAATTTGTTAAAAAGTCATTCTGTCAATACATCTTCTCCAGATAATGTTAAAAAAACCCACTTATAACGACATAAAACTGTTTTAATGTCATATTTGAAGCACTCCCAAATTTACAAAATTAGATTACAAATTTTATTTAACATAGAAGAAACTGTGTGTTCAGTCCTAAGCACAGAGTTCACTTCTTAGAATGACTGTGGATGGTACTCCCCCCTATCTGACTATGGTGAGGTGAGATGGCTGTTTTGCCTGTTTGTAGAAGAGGGTCACCATTTTGTATTTTATTTTGACTCGATTCTCAATCCTGACTTCCTACAAGTCTAGATTTTTTTATGCGCAAATGAGTTGGGCACCTAATACTCTGTGCCAAATATCGACTCTCGACATGTACTCCTTCATACCTCTATGCTGGTAAAAAAATCGGGCAGTATGATTTTATAAACAAGACATAGTCTTGGCAATAAATTTCCTGAACTTTATAAAATATTAATAAACTGGAAAATAACCAGAAATTGTTTTGTTATGATATCAAAATTATTAAAATGAAAAATGATAAATATTTTGACTCGATTCTCAATCCTGACTTCCTACAAGTCTAGATTTTTTTATGCGCAAATGAGTTGGGCACCTAATACTCTGTGCCAAATATCGACTCTCGACATGTACTCCTTCATACCTCTATGCTGGTAAAAAAATCGGGCAGTATGATTTTATAAACAAGACATAGTCTTGGCAATAAATTTCCTGAACTTTATAAAATATTAATAAACTGGAAAAAAATGAGAAATTTTTTTGTAATGCAATCAAAATTATTAAAATGAAAAATTATAAATAATACTATTTAAATTAAAATTATTTATCATTTTTTGTACTTGTATTTTTGGAAGAATTTTGTGTATAATTGGGAGAAATTTTGAGTCTTGAAGATATTCTGAACCCATTTTCATAAGTTGTATTGCACTACATTATTTCTTGCTACCTGCAGATGACTACATTTAGTCAAGCATATTATCAGCAAAAATTCAACAAGGCAGCCAAGGAGGCAAATTCTGTGACTTTCCAAAACTTTTTCCAAACACTGATGAAAATCCCCGATTTTTCCCGACTTTCCAGGTATGTATGAACCCCACGTATTTCTTAATATACAGTAGATACTCACTGATTCAAATTAATCAGGAAAAAAACCTAATCCAATTTAGCAAAGTTTTTTACTCAAATGCATATTTTATGGTCCAAAAAGTATACTTTATTAAAAGTTAAATTTTATTGTGCATTTTAAATGAATAAATACAGTGCTTTGTTAAACTTTTACAATGCAAAAGCAGTAATAACACTGTTCTTGTCACTGTAAACATTTACTCATCTTAGTCTGTAAAATAAGAACAAGATGCACTCAAAAAACAAAAATTGATTCTTCTGACTTAAGATGCCTTTTTATAGATTGCATCACATAAAAATATAATATTATTTTAATTGAATTTTCTGCACATCAATACAAAAACTAATAGAAAAATGAAATGTTCACATAATGTATATTGTTATACATTACACTGTATTTCATGAAAATATATTCTTTAATAATAAATTGCATAATAAAAATTTTACAATAAATGTTTCTTATAAGAAAAAGAATAAATTTTTATTATGAACATAAAACGAAGAACTTACATTAGAAAAATAATATACAGCTAATTGATTAACAGTGTAAAGTCATGTTAATATATAGATGTATTGCTTTATTTAAAAATAGTAGATTTAAATCCTTTTGATAGTTGGATTATATTCATAAAATTTGAATGACATAATTAAAACAATAATTTTAATATAAAATTAATTTTTTGAAAAAAATAATATAAATAAATTTTATATAAGAGGAGTAAATATAAATATTAGTTACATTATTTTCCAAATTAATTTCTTAACTCAACTATTTAATTTGATAAATATTAAAACTAATAAGATTTTAAATGTTTAAAACATACTTAAAACATTTTAAATTTCATTAAAAAAATACATGCTATATAATATGAAATTCATGCAATGTTAAATTTTATTAATGTGCAGAACAGATATTTAAACTTTAATATTTTTATAATGAATTTACCTTCAGTCTTCTGATTTTTAAGCATATGGACAACTCCTGAATTCTCCATCTAAATTTTTGTAATTAATTTCAATTAAAAGTAAATAAAATTATATTATAAATTAAAAATAGTATTTTATAATATAATTTCTAATAAGTTCATTCTAACATTCATTAGTTATTTGCAATAATAACTTAGATTTTATACAAGAATACACAAGCAATTCTAAAAAAAGCGACTAGATATAAATTTATTTTATCGATCAAGCAATTTAATATTACTCTTATCAACCAATTATTTGTTTTTAGAAAATAAAATTAACATTTTAATGTCTATTGTAAAAATTCATTTTAATTTTTTTAACATTAAACATATTCAACTGTACTACCAAAGTGCTACTCAATTTTGATAATGAAACATACCAAATTATTGGATTACATTTGATAAGTGATCTTCCTAAGATTTTAATTTAAAATTATAAGAAATGAATGACAAAGACCAAATTTAAAACTGAAGCTGAAACTGGACAATTAAATTTAAGATAGCCAACATGTATTTACCTCTACAACTGTTTTCATATGTTTACTAATCAGTTCTTCTTCTACTACTTCAACAATTCTTTTTTCCGTTGTTTCGCCTAAATAATGTTTAGCACGTTCTGCTTCTTCATGTATTCTTTGTTCAACCTTTTTTATATATACGGATGCACTATTTTCTGCTAAAAATTTTTGACTTTCCATCTAAAACAATAAGTATGATCAATTAATCTTTAAAATTACAATATAAAGAGAAGGAAACAAGTTTTTGTTTTAATTATTTCTATCCAGAAATCTATTTATCTATATTTATTAAAATATATTCACATTTTTACAGGATTATACAGGATAAGCTTTGTAACTCACAAGCTATAAAATATTTCTATTTATCTTCATCTTTCTTTTTAATATGCTACTACAAAGCAAAAATAATGATTTATTTTATCATGCTAATTCTGGCACTATTTCTGGATGTCACGATATTAGAATGTCTTGATTTAACAAAACACAGACTGGTAAAAGTGCAAAATATTCAAAAACAAACCTATCTTAATACACCAATAATTTACCAATGGTATACACATTTGGTTGAAATATAATGTAGTGTGAGGTATGTAAAAACAATCAGTTGACTTATAGTAAAAAAATAAAATTGTTGAAGGAATAAACAATCTTTGCAACTTAATTTAGAATAAATTTTGAATTTAATATTAAATAAAATATAGTGTAGAATGTTGAGATGCCCTTATCTCAGATTATAAAATACAACTTGAAAAAATAACTTAATATATTATAAACACATTTTGTATTTATATACAGGATATCTAGCATAGAATTTTAATAAAGAAAGAGAGTGTAAATTAAAAACTTATCATAATTTAGTGAAAAAGTTGTTTTCTATTACAAAAATTCTGGAAGATTTTTTTTACTCTTAAAAACAATTCAATAATTGCACCAACAATGTCTTACCAAATGTTCAACTTATATTCCACTTCAGCCATGTAGTCAAAAGCATGAGATTTGACATTGGTGATAGCCTGACAGATTCTGTGTTTCAGATCATTCAAGTTATATATAGATAAATGATACACTTGATTATTCATAAAATCCCACAAGAAAAAGTCCAATGGAATAAGAACCAATCTACCATCTGAACAATTCCATTCAGAAATTGTCTTATCTAAACTGAAAAATGGGGAGGAGTCATATCTTATTGAAAAATGGTTCCAGGAGGAAGTTGAGAGATGGCATAAGTTGCAGCTTGTCCAAATAACTTGTTCTATTCACTGAAGCTTATCACCTGGCCCTTCATTTATATGCATCTATTTTGCCATTCTGCACACCTGCTAGTAACCACAGCACCAAGGTATGGCATTTTTCACAAATGGCAACAAATGTCAATATAAAACACAAACTGACTTCCAGTCCAATACAAATACAATGCAAGTTACAAATTTTTCTTTTATTAAACATCTAGACAGAAGTATTAGAGTATGTATATAAGAACAAATGTGCATTTCATTGTCCGTAAAAAGTTAATACAATATGAAAAGTAGAGAAATAAAAATCCTCACGTACATATGGAACAAATATCTGATAGCCTTAAGTGACTACTTTCTTGTACTGTATGTTCATTATAATATATAAAGAAAAAGGAAAATCTTTTTTTCTCCTTTGAGAAAATTACATTCCATGTTCACAATAACAAAGATACTATAAAAAAAACCATAAAATATTTCAACACGATGATGGTCCCTCCTCATCATCTGAATGATGATGAGGAGGGATTATCTGAATTATTTTCTAGATCATTGGATTGATCAAAGTGATAAACTATATGATCACCTCGCATTCTTCAGACTTAATCTCATTATATTATCTTCTATGGGACATTAAAATACAGCAATCTCTCAGTTATACGACTCTAAAGGAACCAATGATAGAAGTTGTGTAAATGAGAGAGTTGTACAAAAGAGAGATTGGCAAACTTGAATGAAAAATGTTAAAAATATAACTGTTTATGACATTATCACTTGTTTTATCTAAATATATAGCCAGCAGCCACTCTCTTTCTAAAAACAGATATTATATCCAGTATGATAATACTCTCTGCTTTCTTAACTTCCTCGGCACCAGTTTGACCTATCGCAAAGTGACCTCACTCTGTTCTTATGATTGACAATCACAACAGTAATCAGACAAGAGGAAAAAATACATTAGTCTGAAACATTTGTAGGAGTATAGAACTGAGTGTGTCATTTAACAACAACAACAACAACAACTACTACTAAATAAAGGATGATGAGGCCTTGACCATTTGGTATAGCCTTGGAAGAGAAAGATGAGGAGTTATAGCAGAAGTGACATTTAACTGAAAGATTTTGACATTATCTCCAATAGGCTTCAGCCAGGACCAGTCATAACTGAGAGTCACTTAAATGAGAAGTGTACAAGTGAGAGGTCACCGTCTGTTACTGACACTGATACATAAGACAACTAGAATCACAAAAGGCATAAAAGAGATCATAGAAATGAGATGTAAATCATTTAATAGTAAAAACTATACTGAAATTTTATGTCTAGCTATATATAATTTGTAACATCTATAGTACGGTAAAACTCCAATGTGGAATATTGGATAATTGGATTTTTGCTTGAAATAGTCAATTTTCTATCCAAATGTCCTATTATGTATACATAAACAAATAAAATATTAAGTGTGGAAATGTACCTACAAATAAATATAGTTTATTTAGAAAAAAAATTACTTTCACACATATACAGTACATATACATATATGTATATTTACTTTTTAACAAAATCAGGGGCAATCCAAATAATCAGCATCTGGGATAATTGGAGTTTAACTGTATTTAAATTCAAACAAGTTTATATTGATCTTAAAAACTATAATGTTATTTGAATTCATCCCATTTACAGATAATTATAACAAATAAATTAATCAATTTTTAAAAATTAATATTTCATTTAAACTATCTAAGAAACATTAGTGACAAATAATTACAATAAATTGATAATATTAATTGTTACAGAAAAAAATAATTTCATTGTAAATTCAGTTAATCTAAAAAAATATCTTAAATTTACTCTGTAAAATTCAGCAGACTGTGCTAAAAAAGGCCTTTCATAATCTTCATCATATACTGCATTTGAGTCTATTCCTAGAATTATGAGCATTTGACAAGCATTTTTAATCGCAAGTCTGTAAAAAAAGAAGAGAGGGGAAAAACTTTAAGAATCAAAGTTATNCCATGTGATTTCCAGCCATGCAAGCAACCGCAATGGCTATTCCTGCTAACTAGTAAACCCCGTTCGAAAACCAGTGCGACTGCAATCACAACTAGAAACAAAAAGTTTGTTCTACTCACGACGATTGCAAACGTGTATCCAATCAGCAAACGCCTTTGTACCACGTCATACGGTAACAACATTGAAAATAGTTCATCGTCATGGTGGATAGTTAGAGGATTAATACTTTTACAGAATCAAGATTGATCAAGCTTATTCAGGCTCACGAATACCTGTAGGATTTTAATTTTTCGTTTTATCAAAGATTTTATCTTTTCGTGTATTCTCGCCGGCTCTATCAAAATAATAATAATCCATAATTTTAGACAGAAAAGCCATCCCGAGCCCATATGGTGAGGTCCTTAATTTTCTTAAGGACACGCTATAAGGATTTGGGATAACTTTTCTTCAAATTACTTTTTTTTAAAAAATATTTTCTTAGCAGTTCCATTTTAATGTATGTAATTTAGATTAAACAACTGATATAAATATAGCTATAAAACTTTATTTTAGTCATTTAAAATGAATATAGCATTTCATTAAATTATTTAAACTTACATAAGTTTGTTTTAAAAACTCTAAATAATATGCATTTGGAAGAGCAGATTATTTTTAGTATTAACTGCACTTGAAGTCTACTCATTTTATATTAGCCAAATATTTTATTACTTCATCTTTATTTAATTTATTACTTACCCTTTATTAGTCAAATCATTTACTTGAAAAATAATTGGAGATACAGACTAAGTACAGTTAATAATTTTTATTAATATAGACAAAGACTGATTAATATTTTGAGCTATTCTTAGTTATATTCTTCTTAATATATAATTTATTTTTAATATTTACTAGTTTTTATTAAATATTTTTTAAATTCTATATAAATTTTACCTATCTACTACTTCTCCTCTTCTTTCTCTCATTACCATATCTAACAAAGTTTCACGTAAGTGGTCTCTAATACATCCATAGCGGACAACTTGATCTCGAAAAATTATCAAACCCAAATTATACACATTATCTACATTATTCTGTTGAACATATACACGATCCTGAAAATAGAAATAAAGCTGTAAATTTTTTTCCATGTTTTTCTACACAAACAAATAAAGATAATACTAAAAATAATAAATATATTCAATCTCTTATAAATATACAGTATAAATGTATTTGATTAGCAATTTTAAAAATATAAATTTATAAATTATACATCTATTAAACAAATATGTATGCTTGCATAAAGGATGCTTTTTGTTTGTGCAAATAATATTTTTAATAGTGCATAATAAAAATAACTGAGTTAAACAATGCAATAAAATTAATCAGCAAATGATCATTTGTATGCAAATAAATTTGCAATACATTTTACTGACTATGTTTACAATAAATGTAAGTTTAAGGATATGCACAAAAATATTATATTTGCTAAAATATGTATATTAGTAATGTAGTATGACATCTTGAATTAGGTTCAAATAATATTCTTTAATAATACATATAAAATAAGACAGATTTTTAACTAAGCATGTTTTTATATGTTATTTTATGTTGTAACAAACAATAATCTTTTTCTTTAACATACTATGTGAATGGAAACTGAACTGTAGATATGTACTGTTCAGTTTCCACTCAAAAGAAACCAAATTATTCCTTTTCCTATAATTTTTTTTTAAATTCAACTATGATAATTCTATAATAATTGTCATTTCAGTGTTTTTCAAGGACCTGTTAGCCAGCCTTGTGAGGTAAAAAATGTGAGGTATTTAGTTATCGATATTATTAAATTAAAATTAAACTTTTATTTCAGTTAATCCTAAATTTGGGGTTTTTGATTAAATGCTAATATGAAGATCATTCTAAAAGTAAAGAATGTCTGTTTCTCTAGATATTTTTATTTAAGATAATGAAACCAAACTTATTTTACAACACACAATACCTTCACTATTTTTCTACATAGTTGCCATACAAATTTAAACATTTGTCATAGCGTATCACCAGCTTCTCTATGCCTTCTGCACACTCGATTACTGCCAAGTTCTTGAACCAGTCATTAACATCCTCTTTCAGTTTGTTGTCCGTTGTCACTTCCATAGTGATTCCTGGCCAAAAAACATCCTTCAATTTTGGGAAAAGATGGTAATCACTTGGAGTCAAGTCTGGGCTATAAGGAGGATGTTCAAAAACTTCCCACTTAAACTGCTGAAGCAAGTTCTTCGTCAATGCAGCAGCACACAAATGTGTGTTATCCTAAGAAACACAATGCCTCTGGATAACAATCCCAGCCGTTTATTTCAAACTAAAGCTTCATTCATCATATTACCATAAACCTCGGTTATCTATCTGTAAATTTCAATAGGGTGGACTTTTTTCCCATTCAAAAAGTATATTACACTACGAACTTCGCACTTGGCGGGATCTTTAATTTTGTCACACATTTCAAAGTAACACTATAAACAGTAAACAATTGTTGTGACTTGCTGTTAGTGTCAGACTGGCACAAAAAAATGGGAAGGTCCATGATCTGGCAGTGGGGGTGGTGGGAGAACTACATGGCTTGTCAGATCAAAACGATCTTTTCTTTTAGAATGACCCTCATAGCTTTATCAATTTTACAATTTGTTGATGTAGTTATTGGAATAGCATTCCATAAAAAATGTTTTTAATTTTGACAATAATACTAATAAATAAATAAATAAATACAAGAAATGTTCAATCCTTATTAAAAAAAACCCCTTTTAAGTTAAATTTATCCATCTACAATTTGTAAAAAATTATGTAAATTAGTATGATATCACTAATTGACATAAAAATTTATTGTAATGCTTTAAACACTTTCAGGTCAGACCTTTTAGGTACCATAATTCTGTGGAATAATCTTTGTTGACCTTTTTAAAATGTTGCAAGTCTGAAAACAAATATAGTTTTTATGACTAGTCTATATTAAAGATCATTTTTCTCCATTTAACTTGATATATAATAAGTACAGATTTGATTGTTCATAATATAAATATAATGTATGTAAATGCAAAAACCATTTTTTAGCCTTTATATATAATTGTGCCATCTGAAAAATGTGTGCTCAATTTTGATTGGATAATTGTTTATCATCAGTCTATTTATTGTTTTCTGTCCTTTGACAAAGATATACGATGATGTAGGCAATGAAATTTTAGTTTTTGTTTCATTTATATGACACTCCATAAATATGCAAATTTGCACACTGTAAAAGTGCATTGATCTACAATAATTTGATGTTTAATTCTTTTAAAATTTAAATACAAACAAGTATAAACATTCAATTATTTAATAATAGAATAACATCAATGAAAAATAATGGTGGAAAAACATTTTGTTATGAAAAAACACAAAACTGCAATATCAATTACAAATTTCATTCTTAAAATTTTGTCAATAGATAGCACTACAAGTACAGTAAAGCATCGATTATCTGACCCCCGATTAACTGTCACAACGGTTAACCAACCATTCTAGTTGGCAAATTTCAAATGTCCGCTAGTGATGTGCACTACAATATTTGGCTATGTCTTGGCTACTTTAATATTATTTTTATTAAATTTTTGGTGTTTTAGCTGGCAACACGGCTTGACCATTAAAGGGAGACCAGTATTTAAACAAGACTTAATTTTCTAATTATGAGTGGTTGTTTGTTTTGTGNTTAGAAAGCCCAGATACAATAAATATTAATATAGAAAATAGATTGGCTAATTTAGATGATTGTTTGATAGAAATTGTTTAATTTATATTAAATAATTATTATTTTAAAATGGAGGGTAAATATTAATCTCAAGTTGATGGCATTTGAACAGAATCTTGCATTGGTCCAATATTAGTGAAACTTATAATTATTAAAATACTAGATAGCCTGACAGTTGAATTAATGTTAACTCACTTAAAACTGAAATTTAAAAAAATTTAAAAGGCAGGCAAATTTATAAAACAAAAATTAATGAAATTAAAAAAATTAAAATTTATCTTTGTGCAAAACAACACAACCAATTTCTGTAGTTGTGTTGCAAAGGAAAAAAAGAGTTGAAATTAATTAAAAAAACAAAGGGTTCAAAAAATGCAGGCAAAATAAAATAAATAATTATTAAAAATAATTATAAAAACTAAAATCAAATTAATATGAAATAAATTAAACCTAAAAATAATAATTTAAAAAATAATAAAATAATTAAAATGCTGGCCTTTACACTAAAACTGAAACAAAAATTAAAAATAAAATCAAAACTAATTAAAATCAAATCAATTTTTAAATTTACATTATTTGTGTATGGCAGTGACAAAACATTTTGCTTTTAATTAATATATATATAAATAAATATTAAAAATAATATAAAAATTAAAACTAAATCTGTATATAACCAAAAGTTGTTATTCAAAAATCAAACTCAAAAAATATTTACTACAGGAGCAAACAAATAGCCATATCTTCAATTCTGAGTCAAAAGTGAAGTCTTTTCATGTCTCCTATCCCTATGCAAAGACCTTTTCCCTTTGTTAATTAACTCTTTCCACAAATTCATTCAGAGTCCACAGAGGAAGTTAACAAATGGTCCTTTTGAAAAACGAACCCCACATGTGACCCAATGTGGCCTACTTACACACCGCTTCTTTATAAAGTGTTGGTTTCAGTTTCGGTGGGGATGGAACATTTTGCTTTTAATGTATATATAGATATTGTGATAAAAACATAAATGGTATAATATGTTATAAAAGATACATAGATGACATATTGATAATATATGGCTCAGATAAGTGAAAATGAAATTTAAAATAAATAAATTATATGATGATATTAAATTTACTATAAAAGATAAAATTAATAAAAGGATTAACTATCTTTATGCCACATTAGTAAGGAAAATAGATGAAATAGAATATAGTCAATTAATTACAAAATGTAATAGTAAAAAAAATAAATTTTACATCATCATTTTACATCATAAAAAAATTGTTTTGTAATATATAAATAAGATAATAAAAAATACTACTGACAATAAGATTAGACAGAATAAGATAAATTAAGTGTACAAACATTTGTCTTGAATGATTACCCAAAAAAATTATTAACTAAGTGGATTAATGACAAAGAAAAGAATAAAAATTATAAAAGATTATTATCTATTATAAAAAATTATACGAAAAATAAAAGATATGATAAATGAGCTTAAAACACAATTAGTACCAGAGATTAAACATAGATTAAATTTAAAAACTAGTAAATACTAATTAGAAAATATATCGAAAAACTATTATTATTTATCTAATTCCACGCACATGCCAAATCCATATTTTTATATGGGAGAGACAAAAAGTTTACAAGTTAAAGTAAAACAACATCAAAGAGCTATTGAATTTAAGTATAATAACTCAGTTTTATCAGACATTGTAATAGAAATAATTGTAAGATTAATATGGAATGAATAAAAATATTGAATTATGAAAAATAAATAAATAAACAAACATACACAGATAGTATCTACAAAAAAAAAATACAATAAATTTAAATAATAGTTATAAATATTAGCACCATCTGGCTGGAGTATATCAATAATGGATAAATTGAATACAGATGTAATCATGCATGATGGAGAATATATCTTTAGAGTAATGATTTGAGAAGCAAGAAATAAACATAAACAAAACTAGGTAAGACTAGTAAACATATCAAGATAATTATGACATTTGAAATGTATTTCATTTAAACTGGGGACTATGAATATGATTTATTAGTCAAGAAGGAATTAATAGACAAAAATTTAAGTGATTTTATAATGATAATTTAATCTGTGATTCTTGTTTTTAGTTAAAGGATTTTAAATATATGCTCCATACAGTAAGATTTTACTTTTGTTCTTTATGTAATTTTAACATAATAAAATATTGATATTTATGAAATATTTATATCATGTATTCTATTAAAAAATGTTTTTTTTTAATCAATATATTATAATTTAATCTATCATCATAAATAAAAAAACATTTAAACTTATGTTTTCTTATGATAATGTATTACTTTTCAACTTTT